ACATACAAAAGGGAAAATATACTAATATAAACGCTTGAAACAAGCGCTAGGCTAAGAAGGGGATAGTATTACAACAGATTAGTAACAGGCTGTAGAATTACCAATTTATAAACTATAATAATATTATAGGCCTCAGTGATTTAGCTGCAATATACCGGGAATACTAGGCACCCAAGAAAAGCCTCAGGTATATATATAATATTAGTTATAGAATACCCTAGAAACCTAAAATATAGTTTTCAAAATTGTAGATCCTAGAAACGATAGAATACAATAAACAGAAGGCTTTACTAGGATTAATAATGTCCTAGAGGATTAGCCCTAGAATAAAAGAATAAGCTAGAATACTAAGAGTTATAGGATTAGTATTCGTGATAGACAGTTCAGGAACGATAATACTCCAGGAGCGATTGGCTGCTCTAGCTATCCAAATAAGATGAAGATCTATATAAGGGAATGGGTTCATTATAATGTAGAGCTTGGTGCTCAAAACAATTATTAGTTTTATTATTATAGTTACGAGAATTGCAATTAGTTATAACCTTATTGAATTCTACTTGAGTTTAGTCTAAATCACTTTGAAAGATTTCTAGCTACTTCCACATGACCCTAGAGGCAGCTCCCGTAATAACCACGTCTTTCGTATCTCTCTCGAACCAACATTTATTGTAATATCGATTATACAAATATATTGATACTTTGAATTGATTAGTTTCTACAATTTGTATACTAGATTCAGAATCTTCGGATTCATTATCAATAGAGTAAGGAAACTCTAAATATATAATAGTGAAATATCAGCTTATCAATAATGAAATCCGCAAAAGCAAAGCTAGGGAAAGGTCTTGATCAGAGGTTATATGAATAATTATATCGAAAAAGCAAGTATAAAAAGCAATAGACATTCGACAAACAGGCTAGCAATAGAAAGCTTTATAGGAGCAATTAAGAGTTTAAAAATTTATATAACCTTAATATAATGTGATAATTGCATCATTTAGAATACTAAGATGAAGAACTAGAAGAGCTCTTTAAAAGGAAGTGGTAATATATAGGATTATGGATTACGTGAGGATCTAGCCGATCCACTAATATGATAGGATCGTCACAATAATAGACTAATACTAGTCTATTCCCCTCTTATATTTTATTTATACTAAATACTCTATCACGGAGGTAATAGCTATGTCTAATGGTTACTTGATCAGGAGATAGGTATATAGAGTGATAATAAACTAGATTGACTTATATAAATAATGAGGGCGCAGTATGAGTGCCAACCGGGCTCATAACTATCACGGAGGTAATAGCTATGTCTAATGGTCACTTTGATCAGGAGATAGGTATATTGTTGATTCGAGAGAGATACGGAAGACGTGGTTCCCACTATCAGTAGGCCCCTAAATGTCTATTTGTATTTAATCTAAAGAGCTAGCTAATAAAGGGAAATAGTAGGCCTTATATAAACACTACTAAAAAAGCTAGTCTTTTTCGTATTTGCTTAAATACTTTTGATATAGTAGTCATTATATTGAAGTTATTCTTTTGAAGTGAATTCCCTTGTTCATATACTCGGAACTCTCTTTTATGGCTTCAAATACAATGGCTGAAAAGAAATTTGTAAAATCATAAAAATCCTTTATCTGCTGGTTAAAGTCCTTGACCTCTTATCAGCAAAATCAATCCCTTCCTTTAATCCTGTTTTCTTTGTTCTTAATCTTATTGACAAATCGCGATTTAAAAATATGTGTATCAAAAGGAATATCCGAAAGTGATACAATCTCAAATATATTCTTATTGTCAATCCATCAATCTCTTTCTTTCTGGATTTCTTATATATAATAGGATTCTTAAAATTAGCAGTAAAACATTCGGGGTAGTAATCTTGTATATGAACTCGAATCTGAGATATAACTACTCGCAAAAAAGATGTTGGTTATAGGTATCTGGTTGTTTTTGGATAAATCCAAAAGAGGTTCTTCTGGATTTGTTGTACATGTAATCGCTGTTCCTGAAAGAAGTGATGTAATTTTGCTGGAATTTGATAAAGTTACCTCAGGATCAATATTATGATCCCTATCCCTATTACCTTTACCACCCCTCTATCACCATTACCGCTGCTTTTATTATTATTATTATCTTGATTGTTGTTCTAATTATTATTATTATCTGGATCATTATTATCATCAGGTGATCCTGTAGGAGTATTTTGTATATCCTTAGAGCTATAAATGAAGGGGGTCTATGTGCCTCGAGAGGAGCAGGTGGAACAGTTTTGCTGGTATTTGGTAAAGTTAGGTGATTAGTTGGGTTATCATTTAGAGGTTCGGTAGGAGGATTGGCAGGGGGTTTGATTTGTAGTTTTGGATCGAGTTTAATAGAAAGATAGGCCTATTTTGTAGATATAAATGGTTGTACCTTATTAATCTAATATTCCAGAAGCTGTTCCACAATCCAATTGTAATACTCTTTATAGAGAAATGCTTTATTAAAGTATTATCGAGATTTGTATTTATATTGATATAAACTCTATAACATTGCAAGACCTTATAAAAGTTATATAATATCAATTTATCAATATTCCTGAATAGAGCTCATCGAATGAATTCAAAATCGAATATAACTATATTCTAAAGAAATATATTAGTAATTTCTGTATTCGAGTATATAGCTATTCGAAAAAGAAAGTATTTATTGATTTGATGTTTTATCCCCATTTTGAATATATATCTTTTGTAAAACTACCTAGCTTTATTGAGATTTTTTGAAAAGGAATAGTCCTAAGATTCTTCTTTGAACTTCAAATCCTTAGCAGTTTCCTGAGTTTTTCTTTTTTTAGCTACTACTTTATTAGGAATATAGAAATTGAAAAGAGTAGGAGGATAAAGAGAAACACTAATCATATCTTCGTAAAAAGAAATCTTGAATTTTTGTTGTAGAGGATTGATATCATCAATTATCGTATCAATAAATCCTCCTATACCGATAAATTAATCAAATAGAATAGATTTCTTATCAGTATCAGATTTTTTGCCAACTTGCTTAAAGCTAGTACTAACACTTGCCCGAGATATCATGATACTGATAATGGGAAATAAAAGAAGTAAAAGTAAGAAGGTATTTCGAATAAATAAGTTAAATAATTTGTAATATTACTAATTAGTATTAATTCGAGAGAAATATGGAAGATGTGGTTTCTATTATCAGTAGGCCCCTAAATGTCTATTTGTATTTAATCTAAAGAGCTAGCTAATGAGGGGAAATAATAGGCCTTATATAGGCACTACTGAAAGAGCTAGTCTCCTTCGCATTCGCCTAAATACCTTTGATACAGTAGCCATTGTATTGAAGTCATTCTTTTGAAGTGAATTCCCTTGTTCACACATATATAGAGTGATAATAAACTAGATTGACTTGAGGTGTGATCATAAGGATCATACCTGCTTTATATACCCTGATCAGGCGATGGAGTCGCCTAATTAGGTATATAGGGTATACAAATGAACTGGGTGAAATAGTTTTTAGTAATCATGGGAATGAGTACTCCGGAGGAGTACTAGGATTAATACCGTAGGGTTACACTATACGGTGAATTCCGTGACATACTCATATACTAGCTCATGATCTACGATAATTAGATTAATATATAGTTTATTAAATATAATTATCGTAGGTCATGAGCTAGTATATGAGTATATAGTATATAAGAGGGAATAGACTAATATTAGTCTATTATGGGAAGCTGGCTCGTATTAACAACTAAATAGCTATGAAACACGTGACTTTCATGAAACAGTATATGATATTATTATTTTCCTTATTCTATATTCGAGGGGGAAAGGCCTTATTTTATGCTTTTTCCTACTAATCTAGCTTTCTACTTTCGTTTATCTCTCGTAGATCTCTTCCTAATCCGGCCATTCCATCAAATAAAGCTTTTCTTTCTTATTCCTTATTCGATTTCGCTAGTACTATGTCGATCTTATTACGAATAGATTGAAAGAACTAATAAAGAGCTAATAAAGAATTGATTTTCAGGCCGTTCTGGGCTAAGAGCTCTCTTAAGCGACGATCATGTGATTTGATCATGTGATCCTGTGATTCGCTCCTAGTATATCATATGAATATAGAACTATATATATATATAAAAAGATATATTATTATATTATTTTTTATATAAAACAATAAATACAAATCCTCCTACTCCTCCTACTCCTCCTACTCCTCCTACTCCTCCTACTCCTCCTACTCCTCCTACTCCTCCTACTCCTCCTACTCCTCCTACTCCTCCTACTCCTACTCACCTCCCTGCCTACTCACCTCACCTCGCCCCCCTTACCCATCACTCTCTTCCCTCTGCCTCCTACTCACCCATTCACCTTACCTCCCTGCCTACTCACTCATTCACCCTGTCTGCATCTCCGCACCCTCGCACACTTCTCCTCACCTATCCTCTCCCTTACCCTCCACATCTCACCTCCGCATCTCACACCCCTCACACTCTTCATAACCCCGCCAAAGGCATACCCATCCGAAGCCCGAAATCTTTCTCCCACTCTCCCACTCTCCAACTCTCACACTCCCCAACTCAATATAACAAAAACACAACTACACAACCGCACAACACACAACCACACAATCACACAAGACACAAGAATAGAAATGTCAAAAATTCGATAAATGTCTATTCAGGATCTATATGCCCAGACATGAGATTTTTATTCTCTAATCGTGTGAGGACAGAAAGCAAGCAAGCAAAGAAGCAAGCAAAGAAGCAGGAAATCCTTGTTCTTTCTTTCAGAACACCATCCATCCATCCATCCATCCAAATCTCTCAAGATACTTCTCAAACTCCCAATTCGAATCCAAAGACACAAGCCAGCCATCTATCCATCTATCCAACTAATCCATCATGCACACATTCATTTACTGTAAAATTTATTTTGATATTTGAAATGTATCTAGAACTTGAGATTTTTCCCCTTCAATTCAGAACAAATCTAAAGACTTCCTTTCCTAGGGAAACTAACTCCTTCTACCGCCGCATTATCCACAAACCAACTACACCTCTCTCTAGCTCCTTCATTAACCAGTGCACAAGGTAATCCATTTCCTTTTTCGAAAATCTCCTTCATAATCTCCTTCTTTCCACCTCCGGTCGCTACAAAAGCAATCTTAACTCCATGTGTCACTACCGGCAATGTAAGTGTAATTCTCTTTGGTGGTGGTTTCGGACTATCTTCAATCGGCGCAACCCAAGCATCCGTTTCCCTCAAAAGAGCATGTCCAGGAAACAAACTACACGTATGACCATCGGGACCACAACCCAAGAGTAACAAATCGAAAATGGGCAATTTGACCGAATCGCGAGATGCGAAACTGCGCACGAGGAGTTGTTCATACTGATCTGCCAATTCCTGGACATCGTCTAGATGCGCCGTATCGATTGGGTGCACGGTGGGTTTACCCATTTCGGCGGGAATTTTATCGAGGAGTTCGCTTTTGAGGAGCGCATAGTTGGAGTCTTCGTGGGTAAGGGGCACGGCTCTCTCGTCTGCGAAAAAAATTTCCCATTTGGAGAAGTGGATGATGTCGTCGGGACCGCTGGATGGGGCGAGGAGAGCGGCAGCGAGGGTTTTGGGGAGGGAGCCGCCTGATACGGCGATTTTGAAGGCGTCGTGGCGGGTGAGTCCGGCGGTTTGGGCTTGCACAATGTATTGACGGAGAGTGGTGGCCAGGATGTCGACGGTTGGGAATGCGAAGAGATTTGGTTGTGAGCCAACCATTTTTGCGATGTTTTAGATTATGTGTGGGTGTGTGTGGGTGGGTGAGAGTAAAGGTGGGAGGATTGGTGAGAGGATTGGTGAGAGGATTGGTGAATTGGTGGTGGATATTGGTATGATTGAGAAGGTTTCGCGGAGACTTTTGATTGAAAAGAAACCAAATTATGGAAATGGAAATTGAAAGGTTGGAAATTTGTGGGAGATTGATGCGAACGGAGGAGAGAGTGAGTTTTTGATGGTGGGGGGTTTGGGTTTTGATGGGTTGGTTGCGATAAGTGGATATTTTTCTTCCTTCTTCTTCTATCTGAAAGCGGTGGATTGATTAGATCAATTGCTTGCAAATAATGAATTTTTTATGATGATGACGAGAATGGAAGGAAGGTGATGATGGTGGGGGGGAATATATAGATAGATATGGATGATAGATATGAATATAGTAGGGATATATAGAAACAAAGGTTTTGTTATCAAAATATATAAATTATCTGAGAACGGATTTTATCATCATCATCGTACCTTTTTTCCTTCTTTTGCCTGCGTGGTATGGAAGATTGAGCAATTGGTTTTTATATTTATCTGTATATGTATAAATATATAGGTAAATATCATAAATATATATATCTGAGGATATAATTGATATAAAAAAGTTGGAAGATTCTTTCAAGTGAAGACTACGAGTAAAATCGAAGATGATGAGTGAGTGATGTGATCTTCCCAACTTTTATCGGAGATTAATGACGATGTTTCGATTTGATAGATAAGAAAGTTTGCTTATATAATTGATTGGTAAGCGGGAGTGAAGATGGAAATGGAAAGGAGTGAAGATGTAAACAGTAGGAGAGGAAGTACTTGAGTATTGATTGATGAATGAATCGAGATCAAAACTTGATCTTCATGTGTGTTTGAAGTGAGTGATTGAGAAGAATTGGGGTCCAAAAATAATATTCCCAAGGGAATTCTGATCTATTATACCTACCTACCTACCTACCTACATACATACTACATACATACCTACTCACCCAATATCCTCAGCCAAGCTCACACAAACATGTACAATATACCTACGCACTCCTATCTATGCACTCCTATCCATATCCATCCAAGGCAAAAGAAGGCATCCAAAACATACGGGAGGAGATACACTTTAGTAACATGAGAATTCCCCAAAGGAAATTCAACCGCCTTGCCATTTGTGATACACATATATCCCTTTAACCTGCATGGCTCTGAATATAGAAATATTCCTTCTCAATAGAGTATTTTGTACCGTGAAGCTGCGGGTGTCAGACGATACAGATTCGTAGGTCAATGTTTCACAGATATTTGGTTGTAAAGGGTGCTGTACATCTCGTCTCAGGTCCACTCGCGAGCCACTCTCTTGAAGTCTATTCCTTCACTCCAATCCATGCATTAGGGATCTTGACTCTTGAGTCCGCGAGATTGAAACAGATTATTTCTCGAGGAGTTCCGCTTCGTAATCTCTTAGCTGATCCTGTCTCGAGTAGGTTCACATCTCCGGTCAAGCGGTAGTGCTTCTCGGCTTCAAATCTCAATCCACCAGCTTCACTCCACCGGAATGGATACCGCTCGACCTGAGTAATTGATAACTATCTTTGTTCTAGAACTTCTAGAGTCCTCCGATTGCTAATCGTAGAAGAGTTCTCTCACGCGGGTCTACCCCTCCATGATCCATCATCCATTATCAAAATTCCTTCCTTGGTGGGGTGAACTTGTCTGCGGTTCTGGTGGTCACTGGTCAGTCATACAGAGTACAGAGGAACACAAAAACATAGCCATCCGGAAATCCCGCGTAAAAAGGGGAAGATCTTCAATATATATTTCTCTTTCCCTGAATCATTGCAGGAAATCAAGGTATATGGAAAGTTTATCGTCACACCATGAATTCCGATTGAACCATACGAAGCATTTTCTCTCTCTCTTATTGTACCATTTCATCGGATACTTCCTTACCATCATTCCTTGTATTCCCGCTATGATCCGTTCGCCTTACGAAGCTATCCAAAATCAATTTCCACTACCGCTATCTTGGCGTTTCGTCATACCTGACCTATCAGGTATCACCACTTGATAGCAGCTCGGAAGAATTCACGTGATCTTGGTGGGGTAATTGCATCTTCGGATCAGGTCCGATCGATACCTCCGCTCAAGCTCCGATTGTTTCTGTACTTTGGTCTTTTCGAGTCAGGGAATTATTATTGAATCCGATATTGATTTGGGCGTCTTGAGTTTGTCTTGTACACGATACCCCTTTTTACCTATCTGAGTTATGGCTTCACCAAAATATCTTACTGGCGATCAATCTGCCATAGATGATTTTATTGATCAATTCGATGTGCGTTGAGTCAGTCCTACAAAAGCTTTGAAGCTTGAATTTGTAGGGTGGATTAAGCTGACTTTCTACGCTCTTCAGGTCTTCTTATTTGATTGTGATGGTATATACGAGAATCGGTTTTGGGAAAGAAAGATATACTAACATGCAAAAGGTGTTCTTTGGTCTGGAGATCATATCTTTCCAGGGACAGTCGAGACCTTGGAATTGTTGAGATCAAAAGGTACGCTCCTCAAATTCCATCTAATCGTGCCCCTCGGAATACACTGTATTTTCCTCATGAACAAGAGCTAATCATGTATTACTCTAGGCAAAAGGTTGTCTTTGTAACAAATAATTCCACAAAATCGAGAACCGAATATCAAAAGAAACTTACAGCTCTCGGCGTACCAAGCAATGTTGATGAAATCTTTGGTTCAGCCTACTCTTCCGCAATTTATATCTCTCGAATTCTCAAGCTTCCAGCACCCAAGAATAAAGTCTTTGTTTTAGGGGAAAGTGGTATCGAAACAGAATTGAAAACAGAAGGAGTAGAATTTATTGGAGGAACGGATCCAGCTTATCGTCGCGATATTACACCAGAAGATTATAAAGGAATCGCAGATGGTTCATTACTCGATGATGATGTTGGTGTAGTGCTGGCTGGCTTAGATTTTCACATCAATTATCTTAAGTTATGTCATGCTTACCATTATCTTCGTCGAGGTGCAGTATTTTTGGCTACAAACACTGATAATACTTTACCATCAAACCATACATTCTTCCCTGGAGCTGGATCTATTTCAATTCCATTAATCAATATGATAGGAAAAGAGCCAACGGCTTTAGGTAAACCAAATCAAGCAATGATGGATTCTATTGAGGGAAAATTTCAATTCGATCGTAAGAAGACATGTATGGTTGGAGATCGATTAAATACAGATATTAAGTTTGGTATTGAAGGGAAACTTGGTGGTACATTGGCCGTCTTAACGGGAGTATCTAAGAAAGAAGATTGGGAGGCTGAAAATGCTCCTGTAGTACCTGCGTACTATGTTGATAGACTGAGTGATTTGAGGGGTTGAGATAGGGACAATTGTGGAGTGATGGAGGGGTAAATGATATGCAATATTACAACATGAAAGTAACGGTATGATCAGTCCCTTACGGAGTAGAATAGAAGATCAATCAAACCCATGAAATAAGGCAGATGGATAGTTGAATGATTGGAAGAGAAGCAGTTCGGTGTTCGGATAAAATGACTAGTCAGGGAAACACGTGTGACTTTGTGGTCAATTCTAGCCCCCTCTCCCCTCTCTTAAACGATGGAAATAGAATCATTACCGAGCGATGGCGACCAAGTTTCTGTATGGGTGATATTGATCGACAGACTTTTTTTCTCCTTGTGACTGCTGGATTTGAATGATTATCGAATGATTTTAACTTTGGTGTGATAGGAGGTGGCTTGCTTGGTGGTGGCTTTGGGTACTAGGTAGCTGGAGGGATGTGGAGGTGATAGGGGGAAGGGGGGAAGTGGACAAGGAGGGATGGGTCAAAGGGTGAAAGGGACCCTGTCTTGTCTTGTCTTGTCATGCCTTGCTTTTTCCGCCTTGTGAAAGACCCTACATACATACATACATACGGAGTACATGGGGAGTTGGTACATGGGGAGTTGGTACCTAGGCTGCTAGATACATACTAGATACATAGGTACATACGGTACATATAGGCTTATAAATCCTCGGTTCGGGATTATTAATTGGATATTGGATGACTAGTGGATATTGGATATTGTATTGTACTTTATGAATTCTAATCGAGCGCAGCGAGGACGGGGGTTTGGGGGCTTGCCCCCATGGTTAGAGGATAGATGGATGGGAGAATGAGAATGAGAAGAGAGAATGACGCTCCGCTGGGCCACTGCCGTGGAGGCCGTTTTCGCTTCGCTCGGTAGAGGTGTATTGGTATATTATTGAGTAGATTTTAAAGGGGAGGGGGATTTCGGAGTGTACTAGGTAGGTATTTCGTGTGGAGACCCTACATACATACGAGAAATCAAGCGCGGCGAGGAAGAGGGGCTTGGATCTTGGGGCTGGAGGCTTGGGGGTTTACCCACATGAGGGAAAGGATGATATGGATGATCTGGAGTGCGGTGGGATGCGGTGGGATGTACCAGTATGAGTTGAACAATACCTAGGTGTAGTTATTTTCTGGACATCTAGGATTGCATTTTTTAGTTTATTGATTGATATTTATTGATTACTGGTAAACGGCTGAGGAATAAAGGAAAGATTAATACTCTACTTAGCTAGAAGCTTTCTTCGCTTGACTCCGATGGGTCATAGAAATCTTTGCATGTATATGATGTATAGAGGGGTATTGTCTCAGACCCTACATACTGCTACATATATCGGGGCTTGACTTGTGATTTGCCCATGTACCTAGGAAAATAAGAAAATTAAATTGTAAAGATTCAATTCGATAAGAAACTCACCGGAGCATATCCTCCGGCTTTGAATGTGCAAGTTTCCCTTGTTTCCGTAATTGTTCTGGTTTGGGAGGGGCGGCAGGGCTAAGGTAGAAAGCGAGAGTAGGGGTCCTACAGGGCGGATGGATGACTGGGCGTGTGAAATCCTTGACAAAAACCAAATCTCCTCCAAACCCAATACCCCCACCATGACTTCTTCCGCACCACAATATAGTCCCAAAAAAAGACGACTCGTGCAACCTTTTAACTTGGATAAACCACTCTCGTACTTCTTTTATTCTAAGGATCATGCCCAATTCCATTGCACCATGGATGGAGACAGCGACTTGGAGGATGATACCTCCATCTTTGTGGGGAGACGACATGAGTTGACAGAACGATTGGAGGAGAACCCTTACGATTTATTAACTTACCTCGAACGAGCGAGCATCTATAGCGATTTGGGATATCCAGATTTGGCATCGGGAGATAGTTATAAGGCTCTATTGTTATGCGACGAATTGAAGGATGAAAGTTTCGAATATCATGAACAAGCGCTCGAAGCATTCAAATCTCGACTCGCAGAAGGCTTTTCGGAAAATCTTCTCAAGAGACATGTTCCTGGATTGGCAGATACTGGAAATGTTTCAGAGACTATCGAGAGAAGTGGAATTCAGAGGTTGAGTCTGGATGAGGTGGACGAAGAAGTATATATGCGCATCGCAGACAAGGCTGCATTACGATGTTATCAAAATCTCTCATTAAGTCTTCTGTTATGCGGATGCTTAAAGAGTGCTTATGATTTTTGTAGCAGAGGATTGAAAGTTGCTCCTGATGATGAGGAATTGAGTCAAGTGAAGGATTATATTTTCAACATGGCGAAGAGGAGGTTAAAAACCGACGAGGTGGATTTTTCCGAATTACCAGATCAAGGCTTAGTACGACGCGAAATATATCCTTGGAATGACCACGAACCCAATCGTTTTTCGGAGGAATCTCTCGACTTTTTGAATCGGGAATTACAAGCTATTTCTTCAAAGGTGGAGGTCAGAGCTGTTGAATTACCTACACTGGTGGAAGCTGCGATTGTTCAGGAGGAAGATGGTCATATACCAACAAACAAGCAATTGGGATTATTCGCAACTGATGATATACAACCCGGCGAAACCGTTCTCGAAGAAACTTCCGTTTTAACGGTTAACAATCGTCTGAAAGATGCTCTTTGCGATGCCTGCAGTACTGTATTACCTCCTTTGGGTAAAAATAGTACAGTAGTAGGATGTCCTGATTGTTATGATATTATGTTTTGTAATGAAACCTGTCTCAATCTCGCCTTGGAAACATATCATCCAGCCATTTGCGAAAAAGATGTCGATACCATCTCCAAAGATCCAGATCCAAAAGAATCACCAAATGCCCTGTATCTTCTCCTTTTGGCTCGCGCATTAGCCATGTCGGCAACTCAAGAAGTTCATCCTCTCGATTTGAAAGAAGTTAAATTTATTTGGGGAGATTTTCTCGATTCAGCTAGTAATGCGGTTCCCATTTCTCCTAAATCAGAACCACCTCCTGTTTGGACTCTTCCATTTTCTTTCTCGTCAAATATCGCAACTCCTCTTCATATCCTTGAAAAAATGGATATTGATATTTTTGCCGAGATTGCAAATTATGATCTTTGGATTTTGAATACTTTGTATAGTAAATTTAGGGGTACAGCATCGGCGAGAGTTAATACGACAACGGGGATGCCGGAAGTAGCGGCTGTTCATCCTCTTTGGTGTTTGGCAAATCATGATTGTGATCCGAATGTACAATGGGAATGGGGAGGAAGAATGAAATTGTGGTGTAGGGAAAAGAGAATTAATGGAAAAGGTGGTGTGAAGAAGGGAGAGGAGATTTGGAATCATTATTGTGATATTGAATTACCTGTTCAAGAGAGGAGAGAGTGGGCAGAGGGGAGTTTGGGTGGTTGGTGTATGTGTGAGAGATGTAGGAGGGAGGCGGGAGAGATTGATGGGGAAGGAGAGGCTGGTGAGGAGGGAGAGGCTGGTGAGGAGGGAGAGGCTGGTGAGGAGGGAGAGGCTGGTGAGGAGGGAGAGAATTGTAGGGAGAGAAGGTTGAATGCGTTTGTGGATGAGGGTGAAGATTTCCTTACACCTACTGGAGTGGAGGTGAATGGAAAGACTGTAGAAAATGGATATGTGGATGTGAAGATGAGATCATCTGGGAAGGAAGATGTGGTGTCAAATGGAGGTAAAAGGGTAACTGAATAGTTGGACAAGGCAAGCGATGAGCCGGTTGGATAGATTCGAAACGAGGTGGGAAAATAGGGCTGTATGAATTAGTAGGTGTGGCGCGTGGATATATAATCATTGAAGAAGCGATAAGTGGTTGATTTGGATGTATATATGGAGGGATAGAAGAATGGAGGGATGGTTATTTTATGTGGAAACATGGAATGAAATGGAATGGAAGGGAAGATTAAAATTCTGAGATAGATAAAATGAAATGATTTGAGTGTAAGATTTTGGGAGAATTATGCACGTTTGGTCTTGTCTTTTTTCTAGATGGGGAAGCCTTTTTGTGATGTGGTTGAATGGGGAGAAACTGAACGGCGACAGGCTTGACAGTTGAGCAGGATAGAAAGGAGAGGTGAGAATAAGGTGGGAGGAAAAGTAAGGGGGTGAGAGGAAGGTGGGAGTGAGGAAGATTCGAAGGGAAATTGAGAGGCAGATTGAGAGGGGAGAGTGGGACAGGTAAGGAGGAAGAGGATAATGAGAGAAACAGCAAAAAATGACGGAAAGTTTGATGAAATGTATTGGGGTTGGTGTTGGTTCGGATAACGGAAGCGATAGATGGGGTGCGTAGAATAGTGTTGGAAAGGGTAGGGATAGAGAGTGAAGAAAGAGGGACAGACAACTGGATTGGGATAACCAGGTGCTGCGTATATATGCTGATTTCCTTTCTTACTAGATTGACGACGGTAGAGAATTAACTAGTTGGGGGTGGAGGGGTGTTCGGCCATTGCAGTGGATGCCTGGTAGACAACAAACAGAAAGCGCGAATGAAAGAATCACATTTTCACGGAGGCAAAGACAATAGGTTGATGATTAGATGGTTGTTTATTTTTTGTATCTGTCTGTCTATGATTTGGTCTATTCTAACTCGTTACAGGAAGAATCAAAAACCAACTCAGAGTTCAAGTTGCGTTTGTTGATGCTTGAACCGAACCATGGACAGTAATGGAAGATCTAATCATGAGAAATAACAAGCGTAATGACGACTTGACTCGGAGCTTCGATCCACAGGCAGGAGGAAATTCAGTGGGTAGGATATTGAGTTTTCCTTGTAGGAAAGGACTGATTGGACTGAAATCGATCGAGGTGGTTGTGCTGGGGAGCTGGGGAGCTGGGGAGCTGGGGAGCTGGGGAGCTGGGGAGCTGGGGAGCTGGGGAGGTAAGTCGTGAGGAGTATTAAGGCATAAGGAAATTGGGCAGTTGTAATGAGTGGACGCGTGTTGAGACCGCCGTCTAAAGCCAGGCAAATGCGAAGTGTTGTTGGGGGTAAACGAGGTGTGAAAGAGTTGTAAAGAGGGGTAAGAGAAGGCGGGAGAGATAAGCTGGTTGTGGTGGGATTAGTTGTTAACTAGCGACCAGAGCGAGGGCCACGGCGGCGATTACGTGGTTGTGTATGAGCAGGTGGAGGTGGAGGGGCATATTGACGAACAACATCATACTCTACAAGTCTTATGTAAGTCAAACACCCTTCGCATACATCTACACCACCTTCGTTCAATTTGTCACAAGGTGCCAACCAGCTCTGGATGAAAAAGATACATCAGTCATTGTAGAAGGTTTACCTATTCGGTGGATACGTACTGTTTGTGGAACGATGTCTGGATCTGACCATACGGTTCGTAAATTTGCACACTTCCAACTCCAGGGTAGCTCACTTTCAGCGACGTTATTGTTTGGAGCTGGAGCTGGAGCTGGTTGGGGAGCGCTATTTTGCTGTGATGAAGAAGACATTGTAGAGTTTTTGGATAATCTGTGTGTAGAGTTTCTCAAGTTGGATAGAGAAGAGGGAAAAAAGCAAAGGGGAGGGAGGGTGCAGTGGTATAAGAGCACATTTTCTCCAAGCTAAGAGCTTGGAAATGATTGTTCTGCACTCAATTTTGGGAGTCAAAATGTGAGAATTCGAGGTATTTTCAGTCATATCATGGTTCTTATGACATGTTTCAAGCAGAATCATACAAAATTGAGGATATGATAGTTGAATTGGGCATTCAAAATGAATAGAGAGTCAGAAATGATTAGAATGTAGCCAAGTTCTGATATTTTGGACTCACAATCAGTATTTGACTGTGAAAAATCAGATCGTGTCTATTCAGGCAGTCATTCATTACTCAAAATGATGATTTTGATGTCTGATAGTGACTGTCAGTTGTTGCAAGCGTGTATTTTGGGACTCACAATGTCCATTATGAATCTGTAGAATGGATTTTGTCAACTGCGTAGTCATTTTGAATGACTGGCTACGAGCATAGCTGGAGACTCACGATATAGTTGAGTGTGGCTGAATATACACACTTCGCGAATATTAACACTGAGATGATTTGGATTTGGATTTTGATGGGCTAATGGGTGGATGGGTGGATGATCAGTATACACTGTAAAGAGGGTTTGATTATTTGTGTGGTGGGAGTGACGATTATTGATTTTAACTTGGTCATGTTGTGGTGATGTTGTTTTGAAAAAACAATCTTTGAGCTTCACTACCTAGGTACATGTTTCTCAGAAGGTTTTCGATTCAACAACTAAGTGACAGTCTTTGGATCTATATTTGCTTTGATATATACAGTATGCTCTTCTCCCAATTTCTTATCTTGAACCATGACGGCAGCTGACAACGATTTCCATTAAGTACCTATATCCTCCTTGAATGCCTCCATAGCCTCAACATCTGTCATTAGTTTTGTAGCAGAAGCCAATCTAGTATATTCCTTATACTCAGGAGAAACCTCCCCAAGCAAAAACCATTCAAGGCAAGTAGTCAAGGGAACTCGATGTGTTGCACGACCTGTAGATACGAGAACCCAAATCCAGAATTCTATAAATTTCTCGCATCTGGCAAGTAATGCCATTCACTCTACAGGATCCTTTTCAAAAGCATCCCAATCTGCTGGGTCAGGCCATAGACGAAACAGATGAGATCTTTCAAAGACAAACATGACTTTGACATTCAATTTCTGCTCAACCTTTTTGATCTGTGCGCCATCCTCAGCGGACCAGTAACATTCGCATTCAGAGATAGGTGGAGCGTATGTCGAGAATTGTTGGATCATACCGCCAGGTCTCATTGGCAGCAATTCGTCACGCTTGTCCAACATGGCGTCACGTTCAGTTATGATTGGAAGATTCTTTTTATAAGCCTCTTCCATTTTATTCCAGGCGATAGGATTAAACTTGGCTTTGTATGCTTCATGCCTCGCTTGAACCCACTTCTGTCTTTCCGTCAATTGGCTTTCTTCGGGAGGAGGACGAGTTTTTGCTGCTTGATCTCCACCGCTGATGCCGGCAACCGCCTTTGTGGTATTATAATCGACTGGATATCTGGCCTCTTGGGTATCGCTCGATTTTCCGACAGTAGGAGGGGCAGATTTCCTTGTATTTCCACCGTCGTTGGATTCGGAAGCCTCGTTTTCCTTCGGATCAGCCGTAGACTTTGGGTTTTCGGAAGCGCCTTTCTTATCCGTGGGGTCATCGTCGACTATGAATTGTTAGTGGTTTGTCTCATAAATGGGAAAAATGATTGATGATGGTACTTACAGAGCTTCTTGTAGACAGCGCGCTCAATTGCCTGGAGCTTTTCTTGCTCGGGCAAAAGCGCAATCGCCTGGTCGTTTGTGGCATCTTTGAACGCATATCGATATAGCATGTTCGATTTGCCTTCTTCATACAGTCTATTCAGCATTTCTGGTTGTCTCGAATTGTAATTCGACATCTTCGTCGACTTTCTCGATTGCGAGTTTGTTGTTGCGTTGAAGGGGGAAAAAAATCAAACGTGAAGAAGATATTAGTAGCCTCGCAAAACTGAAATTCGGGTCACGCGTGTGCTATATTTTGGGCAGTAAGCTAGTCAAATATGTTTCCAATGGTCTGTATATGAACAGTTGGATCTATGTTCTCACTTTGCATGCTCGAGTGAATACACATAAATTTCAGGCTCAAACGGGACCATTTAGGTGAATAATGATAAGACCGGATGGTAGCAAATGGTGTAAATCACCGCAATGATCGAATTACTGATAGAACGGCTTGGAAAGATAATCAACAAATGAATGAGGGATGATTTATGAATAAGGATGTGATAACGTTGATGCTGTACATGTAAATTAACGAACCTTGCTCATGACTGTGATGAGAGAGTCGTTACCCCATCCCCCTTGAGAACCGTGTAACTTTCACACATCTATTCTCAATGGGCAACTTTGAGTCCATGATATGAAGCCATAGTCAAAATCTCGGGAACTTTCCCCCAATCTACTCGTTTGACAAATCATCAGGGGTTTAGGAAACCGGCACAATTTCCAAGCTGTATAGGAACATTGTACCTATAGTCGGTACTTTGAAGCTAATACTCAATGTGACTTCAATAGTCAATCTGGACCCAATACTGGGAAGACTCTTGCATCAAGTATCATCTACCTGGAGGACGATGATGTGAACAGAACGTTGAAAAGAGGTTCGGCTACGTCGGTAATTTTTCGGTAAGTTTGCCCCACCGCGGGGTAGCCGTCTACCTCTCTCAGATTGATAACGTTAGGTACCGTTCAACCTTGGTATGATAAAAATACCACTTTGACAAATAATACTCTCTGTATATACATTTATCATAGATCAATATGTCATCCTCTCATTCTCCCAAGAAGCTTGTACTCAAAGGAACTTTAAAAGAGGTAAATCCTCTCTACTCGCACCTCTCAAACATCCCCCACTTTCACCTGATAAGCATCTCATATCATTTAGATAGGATTTGAACATGGCAATCTTCTATCTGCTGAGATTAAAGATCAAATGAAGATTTATGATGCGATGTTTCAGTCTACTTCCTCATTAACATGGCCCGAAGTCCATGAGATCGCCAAGGAATTTCAAACTACAATTCAAAAGCTAACGCCAGATATCTATGATGAAATGGTGGGTATTGCCGAGGGTGCAGGTGTTGATATCTTGGATATTGTAGCACTTAATTGTAGGAGTGAGATTGCTTTGGGTAGATTTACCGATGGTTGTACGAGTTTAGGTTGGAAGATGCAGGGGAAGGATGTAGAAGGGAAGATGGTGTTGGCACAAAACTGGGACTGGACTGAGAATGTTCAAAAGAACTTAGCGATGGTGGAAATAGAAAGAAAGGGAAAAGAAAAGATTTGGATGGTGACTGAGGTATGACTTTTGTCTTCTATTTCTAATGATTTTGGGCCTAGTGCCTGCTACGATACAGGGCTAACAGAACATAGGCAGGAATAGTAGGCAAAATTGGCTTCAACTCCGCTGGTGTTGGCGTATGTCTTAACGCCATTAGAGCTCTTCCAACACATACTTATAAGCTCCCAATTCACGTTGCACTCCGCATTTGCTTAGAAAGTGATAGCGTGGAAAATGCTCTAGCATCAATCGAGGAATTAGGTGGTGTGGCTTCGAGTCAACACATCCTTATAGCAGATCCCAACAGAACGTTGAGTATGGAGCTTTCACCTGTGGGAAATTGTTTCTTGGAGCCATGTGATGATGGATTTGTCGCACATACAAATCATTTCATCAAGAATGAATTGGTTAGCGAGCCATTTTGGCTCAAGGGAAGTCCGGTGAGACTTGAGAGGGCCAATTTTCTGGTCAGTGAGTTAACCAAGGATATGAGGAATAGCCTGCAGATTGATGATAGAATCGAAAATATTTTGAGGGAAAGATTGTTCTCGGATACTTTCAATGCACCGCAAGCGATTTGTTGCCAGGAAGATCCAGAGCGCCCAAAGGAGACAAGGAATAGTACGCTGTTCAATATTGTAATGAAACTGGAAGCTGGTAACTCGACTGCTGAAGTTTTATTCGGAAAGCCTGGGATGACCGATGGAGAGGTGCTGAAGATGCCATGGATTTGAAAAGGTCTAACCCTGATCTTGAGTTGATGTTTCTCAGCAAGCTAAGGAAGCTAGCGCAGGGTTCTCACCAGTCGGGTTTCCAATGTCTGAAAGAAGTATGACATCCAAAGCAAATTCAGAATCTCAAAGCTATTAAATGTACCAATTGTCTTGGAGAGTCTCTAATTGTTTGAACATAGTCAAGAGTGACAGATGGCCACCCCATTTCAAAGCAGCATAAAACCCAAAAACAATTCAACGTTTTAAAGTCATTGAATATTCGACTCGCATTCTTAAACTGAAAACTTCCAATTGCCTGACTACAGTTTGAACTATTGAGCACCTCGCGCTAGTGTAGAATGACTTCATTTAGAATTCGACTCTAAGTTTGTATTGTGCCTCGGTTTACCCGCACCTAAAGTACCTCCTTTAACATACTACCTTGTCCCAGATGAGAAAACTTGTATTGAAGTCCGGTTACGCAAAGTCAAAATATAGAGTCAAGCAAAGTAGCACATGCCTGGCTGAAGATTCCCAAAGATAACACCATTGAATACCAAATTCGCCGAACCTATCTATTGTCCTCTAGCTTCCGTTACATCGTACCATGCATTTAAACGACCCGAGAGTCAAACCCAGGAAAAAATTCAAGCGATTCTAGTAATTTGGCCTTTCCCGAACCCCTTTCTACGATTCCCGCAATCCCCAAACGCCGGTACAATTTAAGAAGTTTTAACGACTTCTACCAATTTCAGGTGAGTATGCTTTCCGTCGCACCTTTATCTCTTGGCTGGTGCTTTACTACCACTACCACTTCCACTTCCACTGCCGCCATTATCAGAATTACTTTTTGCCTTCTTTTCTTCTACTTTTACCTTTTTTTCTTCTACTTTTGTCTTGAATTTCAGTGCTGCCCTCTTTGTCCTTTTTGCCTCCTTCTTTGCTGCCTCCTTCTCTGCTGCCTTCTTTTTCTTTTCAGTACCTGAGCTATCTGGAGAGTCATAACTACCATGGTCGCTCGTGAGCGATGGGAGACTTTTGAGCGATGGGAGACTTTCGTCCGATGAGGAGCTAGATCTTGGCATTTTTAGAGGTGGACTAATGGATCGAGTTGTAATTGAAATTGATAGGATTGTTATTTTGTTGAATTGACTTTGTCTAACTGGTTTTGAAGAGATGGAATGAGATGATATGAGATTGGGAGTGAAAAGCACGAAAGGTTCTACATTTATACCGTTCCAACTGGGTCTGGACTTCAACAATCAAGAGTTCAAATTGTTAATAACCGCCAAATTCTAGTTGATAATATCTGGTCAACAAGACCGCCCCTATTTTTGTTCGGTCTGTGAAACGATATGACCATTAGTGGAGATATTTGCTCCAATTCAACATGTCTCCTAACCATTTCCCGGAAGATATCGACATACAAATCTAAATTTAGAAGTGTCCAAGTAGCTACCTAGCTTAACGGTCACCAGTACACGCCTTATTGGAGACCCAGAAGATGACTAGTTAGTCCTCTTAAGCCGAGAATTCTTCAATTGCGCGCTTTTGGCCCTAAATCAAGACAAACAAGAGACCTGGTCATTCCATCATGACCTTCTGTCCCACAAATAAAAGTGTGATATAATAGAAGAATTTGAATCATTCCAAGAAACGCTCATCATTTTTTATTCAGAATGTAGTACATTTATTTGAACTTCCGCCCTCCTACTCTTGATCTATCGTCAAGAAATTACTTCTTGGCATCGGACTTCATACTTGCCTGAATCCATTCTCTATTTTTCTCTGTCACAGCCTTCATTTTTGCCTCACGATCAGGGTCTTTCTTCAAAGCTCCGACATTGTGTGGCTCTGGTACATGACGACCCTTTTCAACTGCAGGTCTCTTTTCCATTCTTTCATCCCATGCCTTTAGAGCTGGGAATTCCTCAATATCAACTCCACAGTAAAAGGCAGCAGTTACCCAACCCCAGTGAGCAATATCAGCGATTGTACATCTGTCACCAACCACTAAAGCGTGTTGTTAGTGATGTCTCTTGAACTGAATAGGGGTATATGGCAGTGCCCCCAGCCATATTGAATGACCAAGTTGCAAGATATGCACTAGGTAGCTGATCACAAGGCAAGGATTGAGGAGTCAATTATACTTACAATAACCAGAGGTTGACTTTTCTAGATGGGTATTGAGAACAGAATACAAGCGCCTGGTCTCATTTGTATAACGATTGATACCATACTCAATCCTCTCCGGGGCATATTTTGAGAAGTGATTGGCTTGACCTTGCATGGGGCCTACACCCGCATTAAGGAAGAAGAGCTCGTTATCGTGTCAGTTTATTTTGTTTGAGATCTAGAAAATCAAATGACCTACCCAGTTGTTGACTTCATAGTACTCTCTTGTACCCTTTGGGTATGAGATCTTATGCTCGGTATCATATCTATCGACGAGGTATTGTTGAATGCTACCACTTTCGAACAGATTAATCTTCTTTCCATCCGTGAATGTATCGGTCAAAGCAGGGATTCGTCCATTTGGATTTATCTCAAGAAACCATGGCTCTTTTTGGGTGTTCTTGGAGATATCAATCTTGTGTACCTCGTAGGAGAGACCAAGTTCCTCCAAAGTGATAGAGATCTTGATTCCATTAGGAGTTTGGGTTGTGTAGAGATGAATATCTGATTGGGAAGCCATTTTGGGAGTGATTTGAGAATGTAACTGTGTAAGACGATCGTTCATAGATATGAAATTGAAATGGGAATGAGTGAGATATATAAAGAATTCTTGGATTTTTGATTTGTAATGTATCTACATTTGACTTTCACATATGTGTAACTTCCCGAGCTTCCCTCCGCTTTACCCCACCTACGTAGGTACCTTGCGATGATGCGATCTACGGAATTATAAATCTTGATACTGCTGATCCATTTTATCTTACCGAGCTAAAATTGAAAAACGGCTGTAAGGAGGGAGGCTTGGCGGAAAATGCCGAACGTGGTATTTTTTCAACAACACATGACTATTTGGCAGATAAAGTTCCCTTGTTTGATGTATAACGTGACCAAAAACAATAAAGAAGTCCTCCTGCTGCCATCTTGGTCGTCATATGAACACGACAGTCTTTATTAGACAGGACAAACATGATAGTCTCTTGTTGAAGAATATCTTATATCACGTGAGAGCTGTACTAAAACCAATCAACACTAGCTCGACCGGCTAAAGTGCTTACTCGGTAGATTCCAGACTTAGGTGCAATACAATCTTTCTTCTACGAGTATTCTTTTGTAAATCCTGCAACAATATCAAAATCAACAACCATCGATAATTAATACACTCACCAGAACATCATGGCGTGGAGACAACAAGGAAGCACTGGATCGAACAACATTCCTTTGGGAAATCGACGACGCTTCCCTGGCGATGGCGGATCTGCTCAAGAGGAAAGCTATAGCCCAGCTCCATCTTCCAATAATTATTCTTCCAGCAATCACCAAGATTCAGGCATCAAGCGTGGAAGAAGTCCAACTGTGAAGTGTAAGTTTACCTTATCTAATATCGCAAACAATCAGTCTTAACATTTTCTAGCCGAAGAACCTGCAGGCGATGGATCTCGACGTCGCAAGAAGAGAAATCGTTGGGGTGATGCTACTGAGAATAAGGCTGCAGGTCTCATGGGACTGCCAACGGCAATCATGGCGAATATGACAAGTGAACAACTTGAAGCTTATACCTTACATTTCCGTATCGACGAAATTACACAAAAGTTGAGAATTGATGATGTTGTTCCAGCGGATGGCGACAGGTAAGGAAGCTCTTTCTGTGTGTGCTTAACAATAACTAATTATTTTTTCTGCAGATCTCCTTCGCCCGCCCCTCAATACGATAATTTTGGTCGCCGTGTCAACACTCGAGAATACAGATACAGAAAGAGGCTCGAAGATGAGCGACACAAATTGATTGATAAGGCTATGAAAGTTATTCCTAACTATCATCCACCACAAGACTATCGCCGTCCTACTAAGACTCAAGAGAAGGTCTATGTGCCAGTCAATGACTACCCAGAAATTAACTTCAGTATGATTGCTAACCCTCTAACCTTTCTAACCTTATTCTCCCTTCCATATCCGTTTTCATTTATCGTGTGACAGTAGATGCAGCATTTGGAAGACAAATGCATGGCACCGTCATCACTAACTTGTCGTACTCACTACCATTTTGCTCAAAGCTTTTGATCCTATACTAACACTTAGCTTGCGCTTTACTAAAGTTGGTTTACTTATCGGTCCTCGTGGCAATACATTAAAGAAAATGGAGACAGAATCTCAAGCTAAAATTGCTATCCGTGGAAAAGGATCCGTCAAGGAAGGAAAGGGTCGTTCCGATGCAGCCCACACCAGCAACCAGGAGGAGGATCTTCATTGTTTGATCATGGCAGATACCGAAGAGAAGGTTGAAAAGGCAAAGAAGTTGATTCACAACATCATTGAAACTGTGAGTCTTCGATACTCTCCCCTGATATCCTCTTTCAATACTAATCTACAACAGGCCGCCTCTATTCCAGAAGGTCAAAATGAGCTTAAGCGTAATCAACTCCGTGAACTCGCTGCTCTCAACGGTACGCTTCGTGATGATGAGAATCAAGCTTGTCAAAACTGTGGTGAAATTGGCCACAGAAAATACGATTGTCCTCAACAACGCAACTTCACTGCCAACATTATCTGTCGCGTTTGTGGTAATGCTGGACATATGGCTAGAGATTGTCCAGATAGACCTCGTGGTGCCAATTGGCGTAATGATGGCCCTGCAGGTCCAAATGCTGTACCAGGTCAAGCTCGTATTGGCGCAGGCGATGCTGTTGACCGCGAATATGAGGTAAGCATAAACTCAATCTTGACTTCTATAGTATCAGGTATTAACAACTTTGTCTTAGCAACTTATGCAAGAACTTTCTGGTGGTGCTTCAGCTGCTACAGATGCTCCTCTTCGTATCGAATCTGGTCCATCAGGTTATGACCAAGGTCCACCAAAGGATCAAGAAGATGTCAAACCATGGCAACGAGGTCCATCAAACGCTCCTGCTCCATGGCAAAGAGGAAACGATGGACGTGATGGACGTGATAACCGCGATCCTCGTGATTCTCGCGACTCTGCGCCTTCTGGTCCTGCTCCATGGGCGAGACGAGGTGATGACAGAGATAGAGGAGGCTACCAAAATGGTGGATACAATGCTCCACCATCTGCTCCCTGGGCAAAGCAATCGCAAGCCCCAGCTGCACCAACTGGTCCTGCTGCTTATCCTGGTCAAAACGGCTATGCCCCTGGATATGGTAGTTATCCTCCTCAACAACCACCAATGGGTGCTCCTCCTGGTCTCAGTAGTATGCCAGGACCCCCAGGCCTTAGCACTGCCAGCATCAATGCTCTTCTTCAACAATATGCCAATGCTCCTCCTCCACCTCCTCCATCAAATTCTGCTCCTCCACCACCTCCGCCTGGAAGTGCTCCTCCACCACCACCACCAAGCGATCAGCCACCACCACCACCTCCTCCAGGAAACTAACCGTCGTCTTCTCACGTAATCAAGAAGACTACTTTCAATTATTTTTCAGCCGGCGTGCAAAAACAAACAATCACTACGCCAGGTTTGAAGCCCATCCAGGAAGGATACTAACCTAGGGATTTCTTTATCCATACACACAAGGTTTCTTTGTGTTGACAAAGACAATGTTTATTATTGGGCCGATTTTTCGAGTCCATTTACTTTAATTTTTTCTTTTGATTAGTGCCTTGCTGCTAGTGTAACCATAGGAAATAAATTATTTATGAATATCTTTGGCTATTATGATGTGATGTAATTTCTTTCAAATTATATCTCGAGTGACCGACCACCTACTTCGTAATCCCCTAGTGTTATGGGTTTTTATGTTGTTAAGTTCATCCACCTGTGGAGTCTTTGTAGTCCGATTCTGCAAAGCCACAACTCAACTTCTCAACTATCCCAAGAGGTAAGATCTTTTGATTCCATCAGACTTTGTTTACAAATTCATTTGGGCAAAATCTGCTTTTCACACATCTTTTTCCCCCTTCTTTCCACCTTGTGGGCCGCTAACCCCAAGACTGTTTTTACTCGAGGATTTCGCTGTCGCATCAGCTGTCGCGTCATTCATTGCGCGGTATCCATCATGAAAAAGTGGTTACCTGACAGCTCTGTTCTCTCCCAATACTCCTATCCAGGATATTGAGGCGAACACTCACTCCCACGCATGTTAAGGAAGCTGCGCGGAGACTTCTGGAAGGCTGCACAGTTTTACTTCTTCATAACTTTCAAGTACAATCACAGACAAAAGCTCTCTCTTGCCTTTGTGAGGCTTGGGTTGTCAAGCTGGTTGTGTCTTGGTCTTTCGAACAATTGGATTGACGCATCCTTGGTATTGGATTTGTAAGATGCAATGCACTTCCCAGGTGGATGAAGCTATCATTGAGTTGGGTCTTACAAGTGAATCGAATTTTTGATTGAACGGAGATTCTGGCTGGATGTAGATTTGCTCTACTTCACAGAAGAATTTCATGGAGTTTCCAAATAATTGGAAAAGTGTACATTAAATTATGTTCCTAAACTACTTGCTATTTTGCATGGGAAGGAATCCTACACCAACAACCGCCGCCAAAAGTATAAACTTAAGGACACCCAAATTACACAACAGATAACAAATTCAACCCTTCGATTTCTTGGCTCTCTTCACCTTACCTGACCGTGTACCAGAAAGTGGTGAAGCCCTCTTCAAATTCTTCTTTCCTTTAGTTGTGTTCATTTCATCTCCAGCCGGCTTCAAATCCACAAAGTCATCCCAAAATTTATCCTCCTCCATTTCGTCACCCTCATCCTCCTGCTCAATCTCTGGCTCCACACATATTTCTTTTCATTAAATGTAACCTTAGGTCTCGAAGCAGGCTTACTGCTTACAAAACTCGACTTCTGTGGTTGAGAACTATATCCCCCGATTTGATAATAGTTATCGGAATCACTGAAAGGGTCGACATCGTCGTCTGGCTTCAAGTCAGCGTCCGAACTACCTGGTGATTCTTCTTCCTCCTCTTCCTCAAGTATAGGATTCAACGCAGCCTGTTCGGCTAGTTTTTTGAGCTCGGCTTCTTTCTTCTTCTTCTGTGCAGGTGTTAACTTGGTGTCTGCTCGTGTTTCTCTACCTGTAGCTGGAGCCGGGGTAGGCGTCTTTTTTTCGCCGCTAGGTGGTGTTTTGGGTTTCTCAATTGGGTGGTTCAAGCCATGGAACTTCTTTGCCATCTTTTCCTTATGCTTCCTATCGCTTTCCGCCTTCTTCCTTTTTCTCTCTTCCTTCCTTTCTTTCTTTTCCTTTTTCTTTCTCGCCTTTGCCTCCTCTTCCGTCTCATCCTTGTCATTATTACCGCCACTTACTGGAACTGCACTTGCCCCGGCTCCACCCCCTGGTGGTGGCGGTGGTGGTTGATTGTTATTGTGATCATGGTCATCTGGTTTACCTTCCTGATCTTTCTTGGCTTGTTCAAGGGCATCCTTCCTAGCTTGTTCCTCATCCTTCTTAGCTTGTGCAGCTTGCGCTTTCGCAAGAGCATCTGCGGCTTGCTGTGCTTCTCTTGCTTCAATATTTCTACGTTTGGTTGCTTGGGCTTGAAGAGCAATTCTTGTCTTGATACGTTTCAATCCAAGTTTAGGCCCCTCACCAGCCACTATATTATCATGTTAATCATATAATATAAAGAGTTAAAGTAGAAAGGTAACGTACTTATATCGTGAGCAGTTTGAAGATCAGCCATCTTTTGTTTATTTGCGTCATTCTCTGCAATTGCTGCATCTCTTTGTAATTGAAGTGTTGCACCAGTTTCCTCACACCCTGCTAGTAAAGCTTCTAACTCAGCAATTCGAGCCTCGAGCTCTGCAACTCTCTGAGAATCATCATGGAAAATTTCTGGAGCACCTGGTTCTACCTCACTCTGTCGATCAATAAGTTCCTGTCTGTGTTTGCGACACTCTCTCAATTTGTTTTGAAGATCTGTACGTTGATCTTGAAGAGCTGCTAGAGTCCTCTTTGAAACATTAAGTTGGATTTCCATATTAAGATTCTCATTCTTGAGCCTCTTGAGATCTTCCGTTTGTCTTCTGAGCCTTTCGATATGTTGCTTGTTGATTTCTTCATTAGAATCATGTGATGTAACACTTGTAACATCTATATCCACATCAGCCGCAGCATCATCCAATTCCTTTTGATGTGCTTCAGCAGCTTTCTTTCGATCCTCTTCTGCTTTCTGTTCTCTTTCGACTCTTGCAGCTTGCAACTCTTCTTCGATTGCAGCATTCTCAACTTCAAGCTGGGCTATTCTTTCTCTAGCAGCAGCTCCTCCATCAGCGTGTTGATGAAGACCTGCATACTCTTGCAGTTGTCGAAGTTGATGTTGTCCTCTTCGCTGACAAGCATCAAGTTCCGCTTCTAGATTTTTAATGGTGATTTGATCATCATCATGATTTTTTCGACAATCGGCTAAATTCCTTCTCAATGTTCTTAGACCTTGTGGTGAGATCCCATTAGCATTTAATCTAGCTTCGTCAAGTCTTGCTTGAATATCTTTGATTTGCTGCTCATGTCTTTTGCTCGCATCAGAAATTTGTTCATCCAAAAGAGCAATTTTCAAGTCCCTATTCTCAAGGTCGTCGAGGGCCTTAGCAAGGGGTCCATTAGCAGCATCCTCATCTGGAATTTTTCCATGCAGTTCTGCGACCTGCTTTGTTAGAGCGTCGATTCGTTCTTGCATGGTTGTTCTAAGTCCAATGTTTACACTGTTTAAATTTGTGATTTGCGTTCGCAAATCAGCAATCGTTTTTCGTAGATTTGCAACGATTCCATCACTTTCTTCCTTTGCCGCAGTCCGTTGAGCCTCAGATTTTGCTATGATTTCCTCATGCTGCTTCTTCATCGCAGCGACTCGAGCCTCGGATCTTGCCAAGGCTTCATCGCTCACTCTCTTTGCCTCATCTCGTTGATCCACAGCCCATTCTAACATATCATGAAGTTTTCTCTCGGCCGCTACTCTTCGAACCTCACATCTTGCCAAGGCTTCATCAGTCTCTTTCTTTGCCGCAGCTCGTTCAGCTTGAGTTTTTAGTAAAGTTTGGTGTCTTTCTCTTATCGCTTCGGCTAATTGCTTCTTGAACTTTGCAGCCTCGGGATTAGCTGTCTTGGAATCTTTCTCCAGTTGTTTCACAAGCTTGTCAATTTGGGCTTTGGCATTCTTAGACTCTGTTTCCAATTGCAGCTTGAGACGAGCTATCTCTTGTCTCTGAGCTGCTTTCTCAGCTTTATCTTTTGGATCTTTTGGATTATCTGGATCAGGTGGATCATCGGGGTCATCTGGATCGACGTAATTATCTATAGACAGTTTGGCTAGCTCATTATCGATATAATGCTCGAGTGCGATAACTTTCTCTCTGAGATCTTGTTTTTCCTGTCGATTTTTGGTTATATCGTCATCGAAATTAATCATGACCGTCAAGGATTCAATCTTCGCGTCTCTTGTAGCAATATCTTCCTGGAGATCTTTGATAGTCTCTTGACAAAGGTGTATATTCTTTTCGTGAAGCATGTTTTGATCCATGAGATCTTTTAGCTGTTGTTCCAAATTTAACTTTTCTTCATTCGAAAAAACACCACCTCCGCTGGCTTCGATCTTTACTATCTTGGTCGCTTTCAGTTCAGCTGCCTTTAAAGCTGCGTTGAGTCGATCCTTCTCGATATTCATTGCTTTCAAGTCTGATTCGTATCTTTCAGCTTGCTCCCCTATTGCTTGTCGTTGTAATACTAGCTTTCTTACTTCTCTCTGTAGATCCGCAACAACCTTATCCTTTGTGGTTATAGAAGCATTTGCAGCCTCTATTTCAGCCCTGAGCTTCTTGTCCAATTCCTGCTTATTGTTGTCGCTTGGATGAAGTATCACATTTCTCAAGCTATTCTCTAGCTCTTTGTTTCTAGCTTCTGATGCTTCTGCATTTTCATGATAGCTATCAAAATGTCTGCATAGTTCATCAAAAGCTTGATCGGATAATAAAACTCCGGGGCTTGGATCATTCGAACTTGGTTTCAATCCTCTTGCTACCGCATCGATATATTCGGTCTGTTGACGGCATTGTTTCGTAAGTTCCTCCAATTTAGCCCGACATTGTGTCAATTCTTTATCCAATCGTTCTATTTCTGCCTTTTCTCTTGCACAGTCTTGATCAGGTGGCCGAGTACCACGAGCCAAGAAGAAATCTCTCCTTTCTCTTTCCAACTTTTCCATTCTTTGAGAAACTTCCTTCAATGCCTCTTGTGTTTTTATGTACTCTTGCTGTACTCTTCGATCGTAACTAGAGCCCGCATTATTATTCCCTGACACATTTTTGGCGAGTTCTACCATTTCAATCACCTCCTGAATAAGTTGGCTGAATTGCTGAGGTGTACTATGATTACGCCTTAAATTGATAACAGGCTCTCGAGTATCTGAATCATATTCCACATCCTCAGCTTCCCTTTGACTCTCTTCCTCTCCCAAAGCTTCACGAAGAACCCTCAAAGTCGTAGTGATAGCCGCATGCCAATCCGCAACCGCTGTTCGGAATATCGCCGGATCCATATCCTGATCCGGAGTATCCTTTTGAGTAGTGAAATAATACTGCGTCGCTCTTCGAAACTCCAAAATGTATTGCTCGGAACGATTTCGTAATCCCCGCCACACTCGACCTTTAGCTCGGTATGACATTGCTTGTTGATGTCCTGCCACAATCATCTCCCTCATCTTGATACATTGATTACTTATGAATTGTATACCGGCATCATCAATTACTCGACCGTGTTCGTTTATGGCATCCACAATAACTTTCAATATGGCTGCCCATTCATCTCTTTTCATATCCAATGAAAACTAGACTTCCTTGGCGTAGACCACCAGCAATTGGAATTTCTTGCTCCTTGCGTGCTAGAATATCTTCTGTTTTCAACCTTTTCTCTTGCTCCTCCTGCCAAAAGGAATAATCTGGGTCGTTATTATCAGCCATCTTGAAGAGGTTTCAGCTTGATAGCTAGCTGTATGTTTGCTAGATTGATTTTAATCAATTATTGTTGAATTGGTTGGTAAAGTATACCAGCGACCCATGAATGTACGGAATATTCACAGATAGCACAAAATAATAGAAGCTACTTATCGAATCCTATTTTCCTTTGTGATTCTCCTATTCCCAAACCTTGATGCAGCTGGTTTTTGAGAAGACGGAATATCTTTGTTTTTCTTTGTTATGACAAGATCTCTTTGAAGTCGTAATACATTCTTCTTCAAGAAACACAATTGATCTTTTGATGGAAATCGTTCTAGGAATTGGGAGAATTTGATGCTTGAATGGATTGAAAGGAATTCATACTGGGGCGTCTCTATGTTGATGAAAACGGCGAAAGAGGAGAATTTGTTCAATGGTAGTCGGTATGATCATAGTACTGTTGGAGGTGCGGATTGATAGTTATTGAAATTTATGGCCAAGAAATTTGATTGAATCCAAGTAATCCTGATTGATTACTTATTTGGTATATTAATTTCCATCAGATAATGCAGAAAAAAATCGAAATGATTATCTCAATTCAGAATTTTACACAACACCAGATAGGGGTACTTCACAAAATGATTAATCACCCCAACATATTTACCAGAACAAGGAGTTCTTTACACCCGAACTGTAATCCAAAACTAAATATCAAATCAGATACCAGAAATGCCTTCCAAAATCAATGACCTCATGGTCCTCAAGCTTTCAAAGCTTTCAAAGATCAAGCCATAATTAACCTCTCGACTCCGGAACTGCGTGATTGTCCCATCTCCTATTTAACCGAATGAAAAATCTTGGAGTACAAGTTACACGAACTCGGGTATACTCCATCCATACAGACGACCTTTACAAAGATTTCTGATGTTTTCAAAATATATGAGGAGATGCTCATTCTCAAGGTTTATGCAGCGTTTATATAATGAATGAGAGCGAAGCTATATTTCTCTGTGAGTCGATAAATGTAAATCATATCGGGATCTCCTGAAACTGCAGTATATCTCTAGTGTGTGATATAAACTCCAAGCAGAACGAGATTGAATTTTCTGACTTCCTGCTACCGGATGATTGAAACCCTAGAAAAAATGTTGAAAGAGATCATGGAAGATTCACGGGATATTTAGTGATGGGATGAAGTACATGTGCGATTGGGAATTTATCTTTCAGGACCATCAATGGGCGCATGGATTGACGGGACACTTCCTAACTTTCGATGTTTTTAGTAAATTCATTCTTTGATTGTTTGATATCAGAATTCACATTTTGATTGTCCTATTTCTAATCAACAATTACAACAATTCCTAATTTAAATGATTCAATACATCAAGAGGTATCCACAAGTCCAATTTTGCAGTGTCCCATTAGTCCGTACACCCACTGATGATCTCTCGACTAATATCCAATATACTAAAAACAACAAAACAACAAAACACCTCTTCTCCCATCTACAACAAATCTCCTCATTCCCTCCCCTCCCAAACCATCTCCAAAGCCCTAACATATCTCTCCCTATTCCCCTCCCCCACCAAATGTCCACAATGGGCCGTCTCCCCCAAACCTCACTTTCCCTCACCCCATCCTTCCCTCCAAATCCCCTCCTCCCCGCCTCCTCCGCATGCTCTTCCACATCCTCCCACCTCACCATCCTATCCCCCTCACTAAAAACATACAATCTCCTCGCTTCCTTCCCAAAAATCTCCCCATCATTAAGATCCCTTCTAATCCTTTCTATCAAATCTACTCTCCCAAACATCCCCCATAAAATTTTATACCCCCCAAAAAGCACATACAAAAAACTCATACATAGAAAATGCACGATCCAGAATCTCGGAAACCCCAGCGAGAATGCAGAAACAGTAGCTCTGTATCTGAATTTTCCCGGGGAAGAATCCAGGATCAGAGAAGCGAGTGGAAGAGATCTCCCTAGCTTCCGATGGAATTCGCGCGCGAGAAACGAGAGTGTGAATGCCCCGCCGTTGGAGAAGGAATGAGCGAGGATTTTGGAGTTGGCGGGGAATTTGGAGAGGATATTGAGAGCGGGGGTGAGACGAGAGAGGGAATTAGCGGAAGAGGAGAAGATGTGGGGAGTGGAGGTTGTGAGGAGGAGGATGGGGGTGTGTGGATGGAGAGTGTGGTAGAGAGTTGTGTATTTGGAGATGTGTTTTGGGGAGGCATTGAGCCAGGAGCTGAGCAAGATGAGGTCAGGAGATTTTGAGAAGGATTTGGATTTGGGGGGAATGGAAGAAGATGAGGATGAAGTGGTGGATTCGGGGGGGTCGTGGATGTAGATACAGGGAGAGAGACGTGTGAAGTCGGATAGGGTTATCATGATGATGGTAATTAGGATGGAAGATTCAAAATCTGAATCTGAATCATGAAGAGTTCTGGATTGAAAGGAATTATGCAAATAATTAGTTTCATCCCATGTTTATATGGATAGCCAGCCCTCTAGGATTATCTTTCTTGGCTCAACAGTTTTGTAATGTTGCTAGGAAGTCTCCCATTCTAAACATAAGCGTGGAGCGGAGACGGAACGCGGGGTTTGATATCCTTCCGAATATGAGGTTATCACTTGTCACGACCTAGCCAATAGGAATGTCATTATAACTGTTAGAAATATAAAGATTGAAAATAATATCAACAATATTGTGACTGTTGAAATGTATATCTATTAGAATACTTGATTCTCTGCTCATAATTCCAATAACCACCTAATCCAAGTTCAACATTGTAATTCCACCATCTACCACCATCTATACCATACCAATACTTCAATTAACCACATCACCACTTAACCCCTTATCCTCTCCATCTCCAATCATCACTCTTTGTTGTAATTCAAATCCAATTCCACAAACTTCTTTCCTTCTCCTAGCAAACATTTCATATAAACCCAACCAAATGGTTCTATCCCTACAATCTGTCGCTCCAAACCATTCACTCGCACCACAATCCGGCATATATCTATTCAATTCTTCTTTCGTCGCTTGAATCCAAGGTTTTGGTATTGGCCAATCTGAAAAATGCATATATTTCGCTTCTGCCAAAGCCTTTTCCGCGTCCCAAGTATCTTTCAAATTGCCCAAACATTCTTGATGTGATTTGCGACGGAGTTCTCCCGAGAGAAGATTATAAGGACGAGATGGAATGGCTAATATATTGGGTGAATACATTGTATTCAATATATCCATATCGTTCTCATTCGGTCCCGCATGTTGTACTGCTGATTCGATTCGTTGGAAGAGGTTGGTGGAAGGATGTAATAATAACAAATGAGAGGAATATGCCCAATCGGTAGGTGGACCGAAATAAGTATACGGCATAGCGACCGGAGCAGATGGTAATAGAAACAATTCATCCATATTCCGAATATAATTCGCATCCGAATCGAGATGTAGAACTCGATCATATTGCGTGAGATTGAATGCGAGAAGTTTGGTATATGAACCTGCCCATGTTGTCTGTTCCGTGTGATTCTGATGTAGAACATCCACCGGTTGTAATTTGACGTAATAATCGGTTTGTGCTTGCTTTAATAATCTGGCAATGGTTGTGAGCGGTTTGGAAGGAAGATTCGTATCGATTTCTTCAACATTCCAATGGGATGGATATAACATTAATCGTTGAGCACGACTACCGATTGTTTCGACCTGCGACCAGAGCATGAGAGCACTACACAGATATTCAGGTGAAGTAACATATTGAACATATGCGAATTTGAACCAGTCAATCGCAGAATCCTCAACTGTAGTTACTGGACCTGGCATTGGAGGAAATACATCGCCATCATGGTTGTGAAGGAAGACATATCGAACGACCAAAAATATGAGTAGAAATATGGACGTCAATTGAAAAGTAGTTGAAGATATTAAAACTCGTAATCGACGAGTATAAAAGCGAAAGCCTGCCATACAGACATTTGAATATGAAAGAAGGATAACAACATTAACATCTCCATTCTTGAGATTTTTCCTTTTCTTCCCAATTAATACCTACTCGAGCTACTTACTTGAATATTATTGATTGTTACGGCTAAGTTGTCCGATATCATAAACACCAAGACGCTAAAAACATGAGAATGTAAGGTTATTTCTTGGCCCCTGAGGTTAAATAGTGTGATATCTCACCGCTTTGAATACATTATTGAGGATCTATATCGTACAACCAAAATGATCAATGAGATCTCAATTTGGATGAATGAACGAACCAAATTGATTGATTGATTGATGAATTTCTTTTCGAGGGAGAAATGATTATCATATGGGGGCAAGCCCCCAAACCCCCATATCCTCGCTGCGCTCGAGTTTCGGGAATTGAAATAGAAATGTCAGGGTCAATTGTGTGTATGATATGCCGAGCGGAGTACCCCAAGTGGGATGGATGTGGCAGAATAAAGACAACGAGATCCATTGGACCATACATATTGACCCCTTTCGCACTCAAGGAATTGCGATTTGTCAATGAGCCAATCTATGAACCAGTCTTCGGAAATCGGCACAATCAAGTCTTGACCATGATGATAGTTTTGTCATAAGGCTCGTAGACTATGATGCTATTCACAAAGTTGCTGCCAACTCCAAAGGCAACTCCCATATGGGTTGGATATACATCTCAGGACCTCTTGGTATGAAATTCTCAAGTGAGCCTTTCTATTATTCCATAGTATTGGAGTACTGAAAGAATATCGCTGTTTACACATGTTCTCTACTTATCGTATTCTTATCATCTTGGCTATCAAATTCCATGATACCACCAATCTACCCAATTTTCAATTCTCAACCTCATTCATCTCAGTCCCAAGAAATGCAATACTCGATACCAGATCAAAAGATCAAAATTTGGCTCCTGATCTGACGAGTCTGCCATCAGAGCTTCGAAACCGTTTTGTACAAATGCTTCACATCTGTGTTGTTCACGGAGATGGAATAGCAAACCTCCTTTTTGACAAGCAAAATCTACAACGAAACCCTTCATTATATCATATAGCTTTGGAAACTCTCTATCTTGAAGCATTTCCGAGCTCTTAGTTGACCATACAGTTCGTTGCATGATTACTATTGCGCACAATTAGCTCATTGAGAGTAGAGCCGAAGCATGCGTGAATCCCCTTCAGACTTCTCCTACCATTCCTGCGAGTATCGTAAATCTTCACATGTACGGCTTCAAAAGCTTAGTGACTATTATACCAAACAATCTTAGCTAAATGGGGGTCCCCAAGAATGCCTACATTGCAAATACTACTATTTACATATGGAGCAAAAGATCCAATATTGCCCGCCTCCAATATTTCCAAACCTAAGCCTGATCTTAAATCATAAGACAGCTAGACGTTGTTCCTTTCGTCAAAAAATTTATCCTTCAATTTCCGCTACACACCCTGATTCTGACTCCCATCCAAGATACTTGCGAACCACCTCTCGTCATTAGTGTGAATACTGCAGTCAAACTGTCGTCCACTCCTTCAACCACAATAGATACCTGCACATCTGCCAATACATTGCCATTGCCATTACCAGTAACAATAATGAGTTACTATATTGCGGCATCTATCACAATATATTCATTGCTTCAGCTTTATTCTCATCTTCAATCAAGAAGATAGAGCCGCCCTTCCCTCTTCGGAATATACTTTCTTTACCTAGAATATCCGAATTCAACTAGACTCATTAATTAGTGAAGCAAACGTATACTCTTCTACTAATGTCAATGTACCATCCTTCTTTACAATTTCACAAGAAACATCCAGACATTAGCCTGTTTGGGAGTCCAGGTTTGAGCCTACATAATTTCTAACTCCTCACTCTTCGCTCTGTCCCCCTCACCCCTCACCCCGTACCCCCTCAATCCCTCTCGAACTCCGCATTCCCCGCCCTCATTCTCACAGCCATCCAAGTACCCAAATACCCATAGTCTCATCTCAAGATATTAAATAATACTCCCGAATACTCTTATTCAAATAATCCCAATATAACCAATGACTTCCAACTCTCCCCTTCCTCTTATCTCCCCTTCCCCTCCTTCTTTTTCAAACTCTCTCAACTCCTCTCAACTCTCTCAACTCTCTCAACTCTCTCAACTCTCTCAACTCTCTCAACTCTCTCAACTCTCTCAACTCGCTCAACTCTCTCAAATCTCTCAACTCTCATTCTAACCATCTACATACAAGCAGCAAAAATCACAAAATCTACAGAGGTTCTTTATCGTCTCTCATATTCCGACTAACATCTCATAGCACCCTCTTTCCTTCACCCTCCCTTCCATCCCCTCCCTCACCTTCAACCCAATCCAATCCAACCCAAATCCAATCCAATTAACACAAATCTAATCAAATCAAATCAACACATACAATCCTCACAATACAAATAAACAATATAATTATTTACAACCTAACAATCCAAATTCCAAAAAGCCCTATCATTATCATTATTAACCTAACCTATCCATTATCTACCTACCTAACTACCCACTCAACCCCCAACAACCCCTCCCTCCATCCGTCCAGTATACACCCCAAATCCCAAACCAATCCCGCGCTCCTTATCCCCTTGATGAAAAATCTAATTCCCAATTCCAAATCGCAAATCCCCATCCCATCCCATCCCATCCCCCCAAAATTCCCCATCAACAAATCATCTTCCCCACAAAAAACCCTTCCATATCCAAATTCCCCCCCTCGTTCTCCCTCCCCAAGAATCTCCCCTCCTTTATCCTTCCCTCTCAAAAGAAAACCCCCAGCCCATATTCACCCCTCCCTCCTTACCTCTTCAAAAATTCCCCTCCTTCAAAATTCCCCTCCCCAAAAATCCCCCAAAACCCAAACCCCAAAAAATCAATCTCACTCCCTCGCGTGGGGTCGAACCACGAACCTCTCGATACCATATCCTAACAGTCGAACGCGCTAGCCAATTGCGCCACGAGGGATGTTTCATTCCCAAATGAATCAATTTGTGGTGATTGATGGGCGGGGTGGATTTATGGGGATATATTATGTTTTATTATAAATTAGTATGAGGAAGGGTTGAGGAATGGGGAGTGGTTTGTGTGGGTAGGATATCTAGGTAGGATACATAGATGGAAGGAAATTGTTAGTATTATTATTATTATTATTTGTGTGATGTGATGTGGTGGGGCGGAGTGGAGTGGAGTGGAGTGGAGAGTGGAGAGTGGGGTGAGATGAAGTTACGGTGGGAAACTCAGGGAAGTATCAGTGAGGGAATATCGTACAGGAAACAGAGAGAGAAAGAGCATGAGAATGAGAATTCGAAACAGAAGTACAACTAGATAGGTAGGTAGGTACCTAAATAACAATAATATCCATATTTCCAACGACTACCTACCTACCTACCTACCTACCTACCTAGATATATAATATGCCAATAAATTACAATACACTATAATCTCATACCTAGATACAATATACAATATACAAATACCTATACAATAAAAGATACAATAAAAGATACGAGATACATGCTAGGAAAAATATTAAACAATATTTCTTTCCTCAATCAAGTTCTTTCTTCCTACTAATTTCTCATTCTTCATTCATTCTCATAATTTCATTCTTTTCTCTGTTCTCTGTTCTCTGAATTTCGGTTCTCCTTCCCTTCCCTCTCTATTCCCAACCATCTAATCATACAAAGCCCGCCTTGCTCCCATCACAAACCCCTTTGTGCAATCCACCAACTACCATCGATTATCAGAAAACAAAAGAGATATCAAAAAAGTCAAAAAACAAAAGAAATAAACGCCCCTTCTCATATACTAATATACTTAATAAGCCTGTCCCGTTCAGAAAAAAATTGGCTTCCCTCATCTTTGTCCCTCCGCTCCTCATCCGACTTCAATACTAACATCCCGAGCCCACCCCCAAATATTTCACTACCACCCACCCCACTATCTCCCAACTATTTCATAGTTTTCAAGAATCCTTCTAAATCGAAACTTTCCTCATACTCCTTTCCATCCCACAATTCTCCCAAATCATCCAACCAACCTTTCTTTCCTTTCTCCCTTACTTCTCCAGTCGCATCAACCATATCTTCTTCTCGTTCTGCTTGAACACTACTATCTGCTGCTAATGGAACTTCCGATGTATCACCTAGATTAAAGAGGTCGAGGATTTGATCTGTTTCCATAGTTCCCAGACCCGCATTTTGTTGATTGACTACTGTGGATGCTACGTCGATTTTGAATCTTTGAAGACTATTTGGAATAAATTAGTATTTGATTTGTGAAATATTTGTGAGAGAAAAGAGTGGAAGGACGGGAAAAATATGAACAGGAATTATAACGAACCTCAAAATCTTTTCCTCCAAAGTACCCCTAGTAATCAATCGATAAACATTAACCACCTTCTTTTGACCAATTCTATGAGCTCTGTCCATAGCTTGTAAATCTTTCTGAGGATTCCAATCATGTTCCACAAAAATAACCGTATCAGCACCCGTCAAATTAAGCCCCAAACCTCCTACACTAGTTGTAAGAAGTAAGACATCATAGGAAGGATCGGAATTAAATTTGTTGACGATATCTTGACGTTTATTAGCATCAACTGATCCATCCATACGTAAGAATTGTACTGAAGGTAACATCTTCTTAAGAACATCATTTTGAACCATATCTAACATTTCCTTCATTTGACAGAAGATTAAAGCTCGATGAGGTGAGACAAAAGAAGTTTCGGTGGTAATTTCATTTTCGGAAGAAGTTTCTGTACCAATACCACAATCAACAAGTAAATCTCGCAAGGCCGTTAATTTTGGTGCGTGAATAGGATCTCGAAGACTAGTTCCTTGTTTGGCAAGAAGTCGTTGAGTATCTTCATATTGTTTATGACCTTCTTTCATAACAAGCGCAGGAGAATTGCAAAGTTTGCGCATGTATTGTAGAGCTTGGAAAATATGTTGTTTTGCTTCTTTATCACCAGATGATGCCTTTTCGGCAAGAGTTTTACCTTCTTTCTTGGTGAAATCCTCGAAGAGTTTCTTCTGTAAATCACTAAGATCACAGTAGTAATTTTGTAAGATTTTGGGTGGTAAATCATCCAAAACTTCTTCTTTAAGACGACGTAGGAGGAATGGTAGAACTTGTTTATGTAAAGCTTCAATAGCAAGAGCACCAGCTTCTTGCTCTTTTGAAGAAGATTTACTATAACGACTCGCGGCAATTGGTTTGGCGAAACGATCCAGGAAAACCTTCTCAGCTCCAAGGAAACCTGGCATGAGGAAATCGAAGAGAGACCAAAGTTCCAGTACATTGTTTTGAATTGGTGTACCTGAAAGGATGAGTCGATGATTGCTAAGAAGACGTTTGACGGCAACAGTAGTTTTAGCTCGAGGATTTTTAATTAAATGACCTTCATCTAGAACACAATAGTTCCAATTGAGTGGTGATAAAACATCAATGTCATTACGACAAATTTCGTACGATGTAATGACGATATCAGTTTGACCAAGTTGTTCTCTAAAACGAGCTCGATCAAGTGGAGGTCCAACATAAGCTGTACATGTTAGGAAAGGAGCATATGCTTTAATCTCTTGTTGCCAATGACCGGAAAGAGTAGGAGGACATATGATGAGAGATGGCATTCTTCTGGATTCGGGAGCTCCAGTTTTCGCAAATTCCTCAGCTCTAAGATGATGATCACTTGCGACAATACATAATGTTTGTAATGTTTTGCCAAGACCCATGTCATCGCAAAGAATTCCATGAAGATGATATTTGTTCAAAAAGTTGAGCCAATTAACACCTTCTTGTTGGTAAGAACGAAGTTCCGCTTTGATGGCGACAGGAATTTTAAATTCCTCAACTTTATGAGGATCCAAAAGTTGTCCGATAAAGGTACGTTCACGATCTCTACCTTGTAATAATTCTTGTGATAAACCAGGAGGATCTGGAATACCTGCTTCAAGTGGAACAAGTTTAACCAGAGTAGCGAAAGAAGTTGTAGCAAGTACTCGTACATCAGTATCTGAATCACTCATTCGTCAAGAACAGGAAACGATGAGGAAAATAACATATGGTAATATACTATCACCCATGACAGCAATAAGATGATAAATTGATTCAATGACTCCTTGACGGAAGTTGAGGTCGAGTGGATTGCTGATAGAAGGTAAAACTTTCTCCACAAGTAAGGTCATAGCTTCTACAGTGATAACACTGCAAACCGTTGCAAGACATTTAGCTGCCATATAACGGAATACTGATAATTCTGAGTGAAGAGCTGTAACGACAAGAGGAAGTAATTCCATGATAAAAGGATATAATGATTTATCCAACGTGGGTGTCAATGCACGAATTACAGACATGCCATCAATAGCTTCTTGTCCAAATGGTTGTGCAGGATCTATGCAGTCTCGTGGAAGAGTACCACCAAATGCATGTCTTAGTGGTTGTTCCATTAGACTTTTAAGTGTAGGGACCTTGTTTAATAATTCGGATCCGAATATTGTCGAAAGTTGTTCCAAGGCTTCCTTGGCACCTCTTCTGGTTATTCTCGCTTCTTTGGCTTCTCTTGCAAATTTTGCTGCATCTGGATGATCTTTACGATCTTCTTCTTTCCGTAATGATAGAATGGCAGTCGTGAGAGGAGCATTCGGAGCGAATTCTGGTGTCTCTGAAGTTTCCATACACATAAATTTGACCAGATTTGATACAACCTTTTGTGCCGGTCCAGTACGACCACCTTCTGCAAATATTTCGATAAGTCGAGCGATAGAGAAAGCAGACCGTTGTTGTAATTCCAAAGTTTCCTCTTTCTTGACACTGTCCATCATAGATTTGATGATATGAGATGGCTTCTTGGGTGAAACCTTCATAGCGACCAAAGCACTTGCAGCAGCAGCCTTGATACGGGTATCTCTCAACTCTTTGATGCTCTTTGCGTTATTGATGACTTCGGTTACATTTTCGCGTGCTTCAGTAAGAGCTTGAGTTGCTATCATCCGTTGACCAGGAGAAAGCATTTTCTTTAATCGATCGAAATCCTCGGAAACACATTTATTAGCAGTCACAATGGAGAAAGCATCTGGTCCAGCTTCAGCTTCACCAGCTACGACAACCGCAAGTACAGGTAAACGTCCTTGGGAAACTTTGCCAACATCGCGAAAGGTATTGAGGAGTTGTGAACATTGGGTTCGAACCAAATGTGTGTAGCTGACTAAATCTCTATATGTGAGAGGGCGTTCATTTTCGAGAATATTTGTAAGAGCTGGTTCAAAACGTAAAGCATGAGTCTTTGAGATACAATTTTTGGCGTATTCGTCGATGATGATAGAAGCCGTTAATTGGGTAGAAGAGAATGCCGAAGACATTCCTGGGGTGATACTAGCATCATATGCATCGAGGGCAGGAGCTGGTACGAGAGACATAATAAGACCCATGGCTTTTGCGGCTGAGGCACGAGATCTAATCAAAATATCCATACCCACCAGATCCACATCACCTTGCATCATGGGACCATCGACGTCATGTGATGATGATGTAGGAGAAGGTTCAACAACCTTTGCAGCCTTTCGACGCTTTTTCGTTGGAGGTTCAGGACCAGAAGGTGTGCTTGGACGAGCGTTACTTGTAGGACCACTAGGTAAGTAAGAATTACCGGATGGTCTTTGGAAAAGTGTGGCGTTCATGGGTATTTGATGTCGAGATACACCAATAGGATGTAACGTAAGTTGCATCAGAGGATCGATGTGTGGTGCAAATTCTGCAGATAAATGTTGTGGATCTCTCGCAAGGAAATGTACTAATGCTTTCCATACTTGAAGTGATAAGTTCAAAGTATCTTGGTTTCTCTCAACCAAAATATTTTGATAGATCAATCGAAGAATTCTTCCATCCATCCAATCTCTAGTCCCTTCACCCTCAATGCCGACAAATGTTAACAAAGCTCGGAGGACTGCTGAGCGCACGGATGTGATGGTATGCCGAAGGAATGGATATAACCTTGGTACCAAAAGTCCAAAAGATTGTTCAGCATCTCGAGAGGCATTCTTTTTCATAGCTTCTAATACTTCAGGGAAACTGCAAAGTTTGGCCAGCAAATCCATGATCTGTCCTGTACTAGCACTCAAATCATCACCAAGATTTGAGAGACATTCCCAAACAATATTGATGAGACCATCAAGTGCTTCAGGTCTCAAGTTGACAAACTCTTTGGCAATTGGAATAAGTGTTGCTGCACTGACAGAACGAACATCGTCATCCCAATCACCTAAACCTTTCATTACAGCACGAATGACTCCATCGATCAAATCGTTATCTTTCAGTAACAAATCGTTTCGAACTGCCACCAAGTAACGAAGACCAACCATACCACCATGACAAATAGCCCAGCCTGGTTTATCCAGTTGAATGTCATTTTGTATAACGAGACGATACAAAATGTGATGAACGGAATAAACGACTGGAGGTGGAAGGTGAATGAGTAAAGCTCCCAGAGTTTGACCAATTGTTTCCCGAATGGGTGCAACAACTGTGTCTGAAACATAGTCCCCAAAACGATCCAAGATAAACACGCAACACAATCGACAAGCTAAGTCATCAAGCCAACGTTGATTGAGTAAGTTGTTTTCGCTACGAGTCTTTCCTAGCTGTCTTCCAGCGCCGGCTCCATGGACACGTATGATATCCCTCAAACCCATTGCAGCACCATGTCTAGTTTCCCATTGAGGATCGAATAAATCGACCACAAGGAATTCACAGAGACGTTCATAAGGCCACTCCGATCCTTCTTGTTCGCCCTCGGTCTCAAGTTCGGATTTGATTGGCATGATTGGGCCCTTGAATTCTGAAACGACTTTGGAATCCTCGTCTATTTCAGCATTTCTTTCCGTTGAAAAGTAATCCGCCATAGGGTTTTTGGAATCTTCGCCACTAGCATCTGGCATGGAAGTATCTGCATCATTCGAAGTATTGGTGCGTCGTACTGAAAGATCTACCAGCCTACTTTTGCTACCAGCAGTCATAGCTTCTCTTTTTCTCTTTCGCTTCAGTTGATTCAGTTGTCTCGCACTCAGTCCACTTTCTTCGAGGGTGTAGATGTACCTTTGTTATTTTCTTGTCGTGAGAAACCATTTGAATCTTCACGTGCCAGTGTGGAACTGGATCCGTTCTGGTTATTGGTTGGAGCTGCATATTCGAGTTCCTCTTCAGAGTATGGACCAAGAAGACCAAGTCGACCATCAAGGGTCTTCTTTTGATGAGCAAGACGCTGAGCGGGATCCAAAGAAGCTAGAGCCCAATCATGACCTCTATCACCACCACGAACAAGTTCTTTCCCATACTTGAGAATTGATACAATATCGAGAGTATCGAGACTTAACTGTCCTTCGGCAAGTGGTGTAGGCTCTACGTCTTCTTCCTTTTTGATTCCGGATTCCTCGATTTTGGATTCATCTTTCGCCAAGTCATCCTCACCATTTGGGTCATATTTTTCTGCATTCTCAACAATTCCGGCTAATGCTTTTGAAGCAGCTGTTCGTGTATCCCAAGTCTTATGACGAAGATACGGTACCACTCTTGTTAATAAATTGAAAAGTTCTTCGGGATGTGATTTCTGTACATCAGCCAATTGCTGAGCAGCAGTATTCCTAATTAATGGAGTGCTTCCCGTTTCCAGTAGCCTGAGTCAAAAGTCAGTAAGAGGTAGGGGAAAGAGATGAGGCTCAAATGAAACTCGTCCAGAATATTCTCGAAATGAAGATCATTGATGATCATCTCATGTTACAAGAGATCTTCAATTATACAATTCCCGTAAAAATTCCACGGCATATTACAAGTTTCAAGGGTTTGATATTGTCTCAACCGAACGTGGAAAAGATGGAGTGACCCAAAGAGAAGATACTCACGTGACAAGTCGATCCAATCTATTTCAACGTATCAGCATGTCAGCAAATCCATAATTAATTCCCGAAATGCAGCATTCAAATGCAACGCGGCCGCATTGATCACAGCTTAATATTGGGGGGGGGTGGAGGTGAAACATTACCTTGAAGCCATTTTCAATACGCTTGTGGTTCATTATCTGTATGAAGAGGATCAAAGGGAAAACGCCATATATGCCAAAAGATGAGTTTTTGTGAAAGTTCGTTAATCCATTCAACTTCGTTATCGTTTGGTATAGTCGTCGTCGTGGCAAAAAAAAGTAAAAGTGTACCTTGGGTGATACTTGGAAGGATAATTGCCAGTATGCAATATTGAAGAAAAGTTTATTAGACGCGTAAATGCAATGAATTAATAAATAAGTAATCGCGAAGAGAACCCAAGAAATTTTGATGGTGTTGTGAGATATAAGTAAGGTTAAAGTGATAGCGACGACGTGGTAGTAATTGTAACCTTTCAGCCTTGATCGCGAGGCGGGATATTTTTCAATTGGAGATTTAAATACGGGGGAAAGGTATTATTGTATTCTTTTCCCCTTTTGAATTGAATGGCTGATTTGACTATGGTTGTTGGGTGTGTATGGTATGATTGATGCGGTGGTATGGTTGATGTGGTTGGTATGGTTGATGTGGTTGGTATGGTGATGTGGTTGGTATGATTGATATGTATGGATTGATATGTATGGTATGGTTGATACCGGTATGGTTGATTGATACTATGTATGTAGTATGTACCGGTATGGTTTGGTATGGTTTGGTATAAAATTCGTTGGACTCGTTGATTGGTTGAATTTTCCCCTTGAGTGGATTTTGGTGGTTTCTTATGGTAGCAACATGGTCGGTCGGGAGTCGCCGTCCTTTATGGTCCTTAAGTATTCAGAAAATCCCAATAATTTTCTTAATTCGCTTAAAGGCTTAGCGCTGAACTTATCCCTGTTGCAGTTGCTTCAAGCCTTTCACTAAAATGGAGATCACGAATATGGCTGGGAAAGAGAAAAAAAAAATTGAGGGGAACAGGGAAGAGGGAAGAGGGAAGAGGGAAGAGGGAGAGGGAAGAGGGAAGAGGGAAGAGGGAAGAGGGGAGGAAGAGTGAGGAGGGAGGAGGAGGAGGGAGGAGAGAAGAGAGAGAGAAGAAAGGGAAAAAGGAGAGTGAAGTGTGATATTGGTATGAATGAAGTGAGGATGGATGAGTGATGAATGAGTAATCACAATTAGGTGAAAATTTAATAACGAGAGAGAGTGAAGAAAACAATAAAAAGAACATCCATGATAGGAATAAGAAGAGTACCCAAGTATTTATTAGGTAGAGACAACAACAAGAATGATCACAAGGGAAGGAATATAATATATATAAACATAACGTTATTACTACAACAATGATAAAATCTCTCCATAATATCCAGTCAACCCTCACAACATCTTCTTACATCGTAAGCAATAATATTTATGAATAATAACTTCAAATCGCAAGTCACAATACATACAAACATACTCTTCTCTCCATTCAACCCGATATCCTCCAACTTTCCCATCTCCTTCCGTCGGAGATTAAATTTGGAGATAATTTTATAGGTTGAGATTCCAAGCAAGTAGCCTTGATACAGATTACCGTATACCTTGACCATTGTGCTAGGTATCCAAGAGGGCATGTGCCTAAGAATCACAAAGTAAATCTACTCTAGAACATCATCGCCATCCAATGAAAAAGGACAGATAGTATTTGAATTTGGGATAGACTTTGCAACGGTCTTACAACAACGGTAACTCTGACAATGAAGCCTTATATCAGACGACGCGACGTGAATCAAAAGTATGTAGTATAGATAGGTAGGTTGATATATCATCACAAAGAAAAGAGACTTGATATGAAATCAATATCAACATCGGCATCAACATCGGCATCAACATCAGCATCAATATCAACATCAATATCAACACCAGCATCAACATCAGCATCAACATCAGCATCAACATCAGCATCAACATCAACATCAACATCAACATCTACCTTCCATACCTTCCATACCATCCCACTCATCTTAGGCAAATAACCTGGGAGAACATCAATTACCGATCCTACAAATAGACATCGGACTTCCGGTTTCATTGAAATGGAAACCCCATGTCGGTATAACCAATCATCTATGTACCTAATAGTCATCGCTTTATCACGATTCATCCACGTAATATCATTCAAAAGCCGAGTGAGTACTGCTTACGGCTTATGACTGAGTAGGTATTATAGATTGTATGCAAGGCACAATTGAAACATTGTACTACGACACTTAGGTATGGTTGGGTCGAGCAATTACCTATCTTGATGCAAATCTGTAACAGCTTATGGGAGAGGTGGGATGAAAAACAAGGCTGGCCGAGTTACATACTAAGGAGAGTAGGGCAATAATAGTCCAATCTGAAGATATAATGACGAGTCAGGCTGTAAGTTATCATTGATGAGATGGTGATATGTTATCGTAGATACCGTGATGCTGGAATAGGTCTAGAGTAGACTCTCTATATATATAGATAATGTAAGACTAGGTCGTAGTTGTCCATCGATCCTTCATAATTGAGACCGTTATGTTTCTATTCCTTGACGAAACTGGGGAATGTGTCAAATACCAAGATACATATAATTATGTATGTATTTATACATTTCTACCCAGTACCTATACCTATATATCGATCTATATATCAAACTGTATATCAATCTATATATCGGTCTATATATACCTCTATAACACCCCTTCGTAAACTGACTTCTATCAGATATATCCTCCTCAATCATACATCCCTTCCATTCATCCCTTCTCCCTCATTCAATCACTTGATAGTAATGACTTTGTTCACACGCTCTTGAATTTCATACCCACCAAAGCCAGATGATCTCCCTACCGTGAGACACGTTCTCTTCCCTTTTCAATTGGTCAAAATATATGGGCAGAACTAAAAGGCGGTGAATATACAACCAAATCAATGGATAACATCAATGCCAGCCTGGATATGCCCCATCCATCATTCTCATAACTCCATGCAATCAAAGTAACTTGGATTAGACATTGAACGTTGACCGTTAAATCTATTCATCCATCTTTCAATCAACTTTGGAGTATCTTGTAAAGCTTCTTTTTATATTTTTTTAATCACAAGAATCGATTTACAAGTCTACACACTTCACTCAATGCGGTGATCACATCTAATTCTTAGCTACTCTACATCTGCCATCGTCTTGCTTTACACGTCTTCCTCATAAATCATGGCATCTTACAATGTGCCAGCGACTGCCCCTCGACCGGCGGTTTATGGAGGACCTGTACCAATACCTGATCCTTCGGCACCCCCTGGAACTTTCGCACCCGGTACAAAAATCCAAGTCGGATCTCACAAGGTCGTTATTCAAAAGTACTTCTCGGAAGGGGGGTTCGCTCATGTCTACCTGGTGAAAATGCCAAAACCTATCGATGGGACAGATATTGCCGTGTTGAAAAGAGTCGCGGTTCCTGATAAGGAACATTTGGCAAATATGAGAACCGAAGTGGAAACCATGAAGAAGTTAAAGGGACACCGCCCAATTGTTACATATTACGATTCACATGCATCACAACTGAAAGGGGGAGGGTACGAGGTATTCTTACTTATGGAATTTTGCAATGGCGGTGGTTTGATCGATTTCATGAATACTCGACTTCAAAATAGATTGACGGAACCCGAAATCCTAAAGATATTCTCAGACGTGGCAGAAGGAGTAGCATGCATGCACTACCTCAAACCTCCCCTTTTACATCGAGATCTTAAAGTTGAGAATGTTCTCATAACTTCGACTGGTCCTTCACGAAGATTTAAGCTCTGCGACTTTGGCTCCACGGCACCACCTCGACCTGCTGCTACGACCGCTGCTGAATGCAGATTGATCGAAGACGATGTCCAAAAACATACAACATTACAATATAGAAGTCCTGAGATGATAGATGTATACAGGAAACTACCAATTGATGAAAAGTCGGATATCTGGGCATTAGGGGTACTGCTGTATAAATTGTGTTATTATACTACACCGTTCGAGGCTCAGGGACAACTTGCTATATTGAACGCAAGTTTTAAATTTCCCTCGTATCCAATATTTTCGGACCCCCTTAAGAATTTAATAGGTACATCCAATGCTGCGCTCAACGCTCAAGGGGAAATTGTGCTAACAAATTCTAGCATCCATGTTGAAAGAGAAGCCAACATCTCGTCCCAATATATACCAAGTTTTGAGGGAATCATGTCTCATGCAAGGAATCGATGTTCCAATTAAGGATGTATGTTGTTTTATACCCTCCATCTTCCATCGACAAATAAAAACTTACCGTATTAGATATATGCTGGAAGGACCCAATCTGAATCGCGACAATATCAGCAGTTACCAGCTACCGAGTCTCCAACATCACCTCCAGTTGTAGGAGCAGTTTTTGCGCCTCCAACACAACAGCAAACAGTTATACCTGATGTCGTACCAATGCGAAGGGGAAGACCCACGGCTAATTCACAGCCACAACCTACAAAACCTAGTCCGTCTCCAATGAGAGGCACAGTTAGTGATCCATTTGCCGCTTTGGATTCTACAACTTCTGCTCCAGTTGTAGACGAAATCTCCAATCGATTTCCAAGCTTAGATCAATTCTCATTGCTTCATGAAGGGGGCAAATTTGATTTTGGATCAAACTCACCCACAAAGACATCACAACCTGTTAGCAAACGAGTTACAGAAAGATTAGCTGATGATGCATTTGCCATGTCAAATCGACCGGGGCCATCAACTTCAACCAATAAGCCATCTCGTGCTCAACAAATTCTATCCAGTAATCCACTAGAGCTTCAAACATCAGATGTACCAGCAACCTTAATATATCAACCCACACCTACTCACCCTGGTGTGAAATCCTCATATGTATCCCAAGGTACAATGACAACACCAACTCCTCCACCTGCAAATGCACGACCTCCTAATTTCACTGCTTCTCCACGTCTCCTTCCATCAGATCATCATCGATCAACTAGTCTACCACGAAACCAAATCGCAACTCCATCTAGAACACCGACTCTTGAAGCACAAGAATTTTTACCTGTTCATCCTGGCTTACCTCGTACCTCTTCATACAATCCACCATCTACTCATTCAAAACATTCATCGTCATCTAGACCATCACTCGAAATGAGTAGACCTAACAATGAAGCTCTTGAAAGTACTATCTCTCGAACAAAATCCAGTCTGAGTCGATCACGTCCGTCGAGTCAATATTTGGAATCCAATATGGACTTTCTTCGAGAAAAGGAAGGTCGTCCTTCGATTGATTCCCAACGACGCCCATCATACTCTAGGGATTTCGCAGTCACAGATCCGACTGATGATGATCCTCAGTCGAATGTGGACTTTCTTAAATCAATGGAAGATCATGAAAGGGTCAAGAAAGATAGACGTCGAAGTAGTGGATCAAAATCCAAACGTTCTAGTATGCCTTCGATTTCGTTATCTGGAACTAAAAATTTGCTGGCGGGTAAATTTGGAGATGCTTTCAAAAGATTTGAAAATAATGCTAGTGCTCCACCTGGTCCAAGAACTCCAAGTCCTCTACATGATTTAGATCGACGTGACTTGACACCAATCGCTGGATCTGAGGCAACAGATGAT